ATAGATATATTCACAAAACAATTTATTTATTCAACATTTTGTATTTACAATTTAAAATTAGATTTGGATTTTGAAGAAAAGTAAGAATATTCTTATACTATAATATAATAAACTTAATCATAGGATAATCGAACTCCACAAGAGATTAGATATTACGATAATAACAGGGTTATAGATTATTATAGAAGTCAATGAGACTCTAACAATTAGATTGAAAGTTGTGGTTAATTTGGTCAATTTATTTGGTTAATTTGGTTAATTTAGTCAACTTCATATAAAAAGATTACTTTGTAACATATATTTCAGAATGATCAAGGTTTTGATCATAGAAGGGATATTAGAAAGTTATAGATACTACAGGTATCACAACACTGCCCCTCTTCTGTATTCACTACTAATATACATCTTGTTTACATATATGCTCAATAACATAGCTTAGATTCTGTACCTGAATATAATCTACATACACTTCTGACAATAATATTATAATTATAATTTGTTTCTCATTCGAATGTACTCGTAGAAATATAGGCTATCAATCAATCTCACTCAGTTTATGCGAGTCGGATATTGAATTTATGCACTGGCAGTGATATCAGTTATTTGTTGGCAGTGTATTTATAAGATAATTCCAACGCCCCAATCCCAATCCCAACCCAAATAACAAAACCAACGCCAACTTTCAAAGCTATTCTCTGATTCTCAATCACCATCACCATCTACTCATCTTTTCCTTCCTCTCCCTCAATCCCCCAATCCCTCAACCTCCCCTCAACTCCCTCCCCTCCAATATTCCGCCCAACCAATCTCCCCACATTCCCCCCCACCATCCAAGCCAAATCAACCGAACTTCCCAACGGACCCTCTCCTCCACTCGTCGTCCAAATATTCTCGCCAAGTCGAAAATCTCCTTGTATATCTTTAGGGAGCAACGGTTGCATTACCGGATATGCGTATGGGATTTCCTGCTGCGTCCAGTTTTCAATCTTAAGATCGTTCTCGAATCCGAAAGTAGTTGATAATGAATGGTTGGAGATTGGGTTGGAGGATAGGAGGCGATAGAGATACTTGGGGGATTGAGTATTGGTGGTGTTGATGATGGATCGTAAGAGTGATAGTTCGATTATTGATTCAGAGTTTGAAGTTTTGGGATCATTAGGATGATCGGGGTCGATGATAGGAAGGAGTTGAGCAGGCAAAGGATCCGAGGATCCGGCCTTGAGAATCGAAGATGAAATTGGTGAAGAAACCAAGAAAAACGTAATGTACACAGGTCGATATTCAATATCATGGTCAGTACCAAGACTGGAGAATTGTTTCTTGTGTTCCATATCCCCTAGAAGTTCCGAGTAGTTTGACGGTGCGGCGATGATTATCTTGTCGACAATTTCTGCATTGGGTGATGCTTCATCGTCTAGGATATCTTCCCATTGTACGAACCAGTTCTCATAACCTTCGATGACTTCTTCCCATGAAACTTTGGTGACTTTTGATAGAGGGCGTAGTATTGCTCCACTTTCCTTCAATGCATTCTCCAACATCATCTGAAATACTCCACCGTTTGTAGGCTTTGGACAACCCATATCTTCTCGCTCCAGAGCCATGCTGAGTGCTAAATCGCTCAAGTCTTCAATGGATTGACCAGTATGACGTCGCACTTGAGGTGCTAATATATCTCGTATGTAATTGTCTCTAATTCCATTCTTCCCCAGTCTTTCACGAGCTGAGATACTAAATGGAACGAAAGTGTATTGTTTTGACATTATACGGATCATCTGTTGAACAGTAGGAGTCGAGGAGCTCGTTTCGGCCATGGTGCGAAGGAAGGCATTGAAAGATTTCATGGTACCAATTGGGATTTTTGGAGCGAGCCAAATAGAGGAGAAGTAAGTCCGAAAGAGGGACAGGTAATGGCCCCATGGTGTTGTAGCATAAGGTCGATAAGTTTCGGTTACGATATGAGTTGTATCGAAACTGTGAGTGTGAGTAATTAGTATTGTTTGAATCCGTTATATGTATGCCTTGGTAAACGACTATCCAGATCAAGCGAGAAGGGGAAAACATACAAGGCAACCTTCCCCATTCCTAAATATTCGCTCTCAGTAAACACATTCTCTTGTTTCTTCTCGCCCACTACTCCACCAATCGTCTCCAAAAGATTTCCATCAAATGCGCCACCAGCCACATCTTCGACATCAATTCCTAAGAGCTTTCTATCCTCAACAGCCATCCTTCCGCCAACTCTCCCTTTCTCCTCGTAAATTATAATCTTAACCCGAACATCCACATTCAAATCTTTGAATCTTCCAGCCTGTGAGAGAACCTCTTTTCTAACACCTAGAGCAGCAGCAATCCCCGCAGGTCCAGCACCGATAATTCCAACCTTGAAGTTCACAACTTTGATCTCTGGTCCTTTGGCTTGTTCATGGGATGACAAGAAAATAATTCCAAGAACCATGAATGCGAAAATAAATGCAGAGATGACTGTAAGACAAATCTTCAAAGCTTCATCCGCACTCTTGTCTTTTGCGCTCCGTGAATCCGTTCGCGAATACCCAGGGATTTTCGAAATGAGAGGTGATGTCTCCGAGCATTTTGAAGAAGCCCGAGAAGTATATGGCGGCGGCGGATCCTTATAGATTGCAGATGTCATCTTTAATTCGATATTATCGCAGTTGTCATGCCTCAAATGAAGTTGAGTTGAGTCGCTTCATATAGCATGTATTTGAAGCTTTAGGAGAAAGATATTAAGATTGTCAGGATAAGGCTGAATATTCACGAGTGATGAGTTGTGAATACCTAGGTAATGATTGAATGAGTGATGTTGGTATTGTTGGCTTATCGCAACCCCTCGTGACTGGTCTCGTGGATGCGGCCACTTGCATATATAAAAGCAGGGTAGAAGAATACATGGGATTGGACGGCCATCCAATGTTACCTGAAGAACTTTTCGTGAAACGATACTCATCATAAATGACGCATACTCGTCTTGGTCCTTCAAACCATCAATCCCAAATCCTCTCCTTATATCTACTGACCTCCTACTCGAGTATTCCTATTCCTATCCCAATTCACGACCAAAACACACTCAACAAAACCACAATAAAAAGAACAATATAAAACCCCAGCACTAACAAAATAACAAATATCGACATACAAGTAGCACGTATTCGCGATCCATCTTCAGATCGAGGTCGAGTTTGAGAAACGGGACTACGGTATATATATGGACGAGGTGAAGTGGGTAGATAAAGGTTTGATAATAGCGGGGTTCTTTCGGTGTAGGAAGGCGGACGGGATGTGTAGGTGTAGGTGTAGGGTGGAGGAGGAGGAAGAGGAGGAGAAGGAGAAGGAGAAGGATCATTGGGGTTCATTGTGATTTTTGGGTTTGGTTTGGTTTGGTTTGATGTAATGTGTGAGAGTATATATATATATATGAATGAAGGGGATAGATGTAGAATGAATGAATGCTGATATGGTGAGATAAGATACTCGGTCTTTACTTAGTAGGTATTTATCATCATGATGGTTCACGCGCGCCGTTTTCGTATTCGCTTGTGTGATAGATTGCTTGTACTCGAGTAGGCCATGTCTGAAGATCTGAAAGTTGCTGCTTACTGAATGCAAGTACGTATCGGTGTATTATAATGAGGGGGGCTAATAGATTGCGGGGTATGGGGAAAAGGTTTAGAAAAGGTTCGAATGTAATCATATTGAAATCATGAGGATAATAAACTGTTTGAATTTGTACTGACGGATTACATATGTTCATATTTCAATATCCTTTTGTAATGAAAACAATGAATAACCAGTCTATATAATCCAGCTTTTGAAAATATTAGATCATAATAGCTTTTGTCATGAAAATCTGTAATTAGAAAGTAATAAACATATGGCATCGAAAAGGTTGAACAAGGGGTTTGTGAATGTTGAACAAGGGGTTTGTGAATGTTGTCTATCAATTTTGACCACTAACTTCTCCTGTACGAGAGGAGTTTCGTATATATCTATTATCTTCTGAACTGAAATCAAAATTAAATATCCAGCGCCAATCCATTCACGCACATCCAAAAATTAGTCCAAGGGTTCATCTCCTCTAATTTACCTCACCACCCCTAACCTCTCAAGCCAGCTAATCCATTTCCACCATTAAACGGCAAAACAGGAAGCCAGCTAGTCTGCAGCAACTTCTTCTCCACAATCTCCTCCTTATACTCCTCCATTTCCTCCACATCCCAATTAACACTAACCATGCCACCCCTCAAATAATCCGCCCTCTCCTGCACCAAATACAGCGTCAACATACCCGTCAAATCCACATGATCATGCGCATATGTTTTGAAGAATTCCGAGACCATCTCTGTAACCGCAATTCCGGGCATCGTGGTAAAGACACGCAGAGTGGGATATTCGAGCACGATGTGCTCGGTGAGGCGTTGTTCGGCGAGCTTGGATATATTGTAGGCGGATCCGCCTTTGGTGGTGAAACCTGCGCGGCCGGAGGAGACGGAGATGATTGTACCGGTGGGCTTTTTGGGGTCGAGGTGGGATTTGATGTAATGATGCGTCATTTGATAGAGACCCTTGAGATTGATTTCCTGAATTTCATTTAAAGTTAGTATTCACTCATGTTTTGATGATGGAGTGGAGGGCGAAGTGCAAGAATAACTCACAAATCCTTTCCACCAAGCACTAGGTTCTGTTTCTCCAACCCCCTGGTCATCATCCAAGTAGCCTGCATTATTCAACAGTACATCCGCAGGTCTTCCAAATTCCTTCTGCACTGCTTCATAAAGATTCTTGACGTCCTCGTCGTTTGCGATATCGACCTTCACACTAAGGAACTTGGTATCTGGACTAATGGGTTGAAGTTTCTCAATGAGGGAATCAATAGCTGCAATCCGACGAGCTGCAAGTACGATACCGAATGCATTGGCTTCGGCCCAAACTTTTGCGGCGGCCTGATTGGCTGTTAGATAATTGGTATTGACAATGGAGATATCGTATGCTAGAAGAACCGGAGAAGATACTTACAGCTCCAATGCCAGAACTAGCTCCTGTGATAATGATGATTTTGCCCGATTGTTGGTTTGATGGATTCTTTGGATCTATGGCCCAATAAGGATCTCGGCGAATACGTTTGGTGAGGGCAAAAGGGGTAGTGAAGGCAAGAGGATCTGGATTTTGTGACATTGTTGCTTTTGGTCCTGTTTTCGATGAACTATGATAATCGAGTAGAAGATGAGTTCGATAATTCTGGTGAGAGCTCAAATATTACGTGCAATGAATTCGATGTCTCTGAATATGGATCTTTGAATGGTGGAAGCTTCGGTTCTTTGCAATAGAGCTGTATAAGTTCAATTGAGCTTGGATATGCAAGAGGATGTAAAGAAGTCCTCTCAGAATTATATAGTCTTTGAATATGAATCCTTGAGATGGTGGGAGCTTCTTTTTTTTGTAATAGAGCTGTATGAGTTTCAATTGAGCTTGGATAAGGAAAAATATATCGAGAAGTCCTCAGTATTATATAGGAAATCACCAAGTATAAGTCCACTTGCAGGTATTAATAATCCATCATCGTATCCATCTCACCCCCATACAATGCAATCGGTGATATTGACTAATCCCACCTTCAAATTCAACGCCAAATCTTTATAAAGCATCTGGAAGGGAGGGGGTCGCATTCTCTGCTTTGTTGTACATGAAAATACCCTTGGCTGCAATTGATTACCGATCGTTGTTGTCCCATATAATACGAACAATGAGAGCAGAAGTCTGATTCTGTTGGTGGGACTCCGCACTTGGGGGGTTGATCGATAAGCACACAACGCAGGGAGGGTAAAGATGGCTGCAAACGAATTGGTAATCTGTCTTAGTATTACAAGACACATTAGAGAGATGATTAATTTTGATTCGTCATACCAGTGACTGCAGCTGCTCTAACCCGCATAAACGATGAAACAAAGGGGAATTGAGCCACGTGTAGTTAATTTGTAGGAAGGATATGAAGGAATTCATCCCTAACCTGACCCTTCAAAAATAGCATATTTAATTGGTTGTCTACGTTATATGCCCATTATCATAACTCCACGAGGCCCAGCCCAGCCCATAACCATTGAACGCTAGATACTTTTGTATACAACCACATATGCTCTAATCTTCTTCCTCAAGATTCTCCTCAATTATATCACCTTCTCCATCATCCTCAAAGCTACCAGTTGGGACTTGGTACAGTCTCAAGATTGGCTTATTAGGATCTTTGACAAGTACGTACTTGCCTTCTTCGCGCTTCAAGCACATGTCAACAATGGTACGAACAATACCCCAACCGTTTGAAAGGGACAAGTTCATTTGCTGAGCGAAATCGCGAGGCTTCCAGCCAATAACGCCGAGAACTACATGACGATCGTTGAGCTTTGGGTTTACACGGGAAACAAATCTATCAGAAATTAGTATGAAATAGTGAACAAAGAAGTAGCAAATACATACCCAAGTTTCATGACATCAGCCTTAGCAATAATACTTTGAACGGTCCATCTTGCAAGCTTGCAGCTGTTGTTCTTCATTTCAGTTGCAACAACCGCACCACGTTGACTGACCAACTTCGTCCTCCAATCCAATGCACCTCCACTTCCTTGTGCCTTGGAATCAAACTCGTTGAGAGCCTTGACAGTCAAGAATTGATCTTCTCCGCTAATCGCGTTCTTTGAAACTGCATCGAGCTCAGTTCGTACAATCAAGTGAACTGGATCTTCATCGTTCAAGGAAAGATCGAATTTGCGGTATTTGTATGCCTTGCTGGCAGGTGGGTCGGTCTCTTCCGATGCGTTGTAGAATGGGTTCTCGTTTTCCATTTCTACCTTTTGGGTCTCGCTCTCCTTCATGACTTGGTTTGCGAAGTTGTGGTTGATGTATGTAGCTTCTTCAGCCAAAGCGCTTGGCTGGTTGATAGCGTCCTTGCTACCTTCCGAAGCATCCATTGGGGCATCAGCAGCATTCTCATTAACGGTGACCATATCGAGTGTTGCGTTGTCTCTCTTGTCGAGGAAAACTTTGTTGCCTTGTCGAACGATAACAATATCCCAAGGGTAAACTGATCGAGGAGAGCACATAAGCATGGAGAGAACGCTGTCTGTTGCAAAAATTGTGGCCGCATCCTTGTCAGCAAGTTCTTGGATAACAGGATCTGAGGATGTGGTAACGTTGTATGAAGCGCGGTCGACCACGTTGAGCTTTCTTTCGGCAGCCTTGACAGGTTGCTTGTCGAATGATCGATCGTAGTAGTGAAGGAAACCATAACTGTCGATATCTTCTCCTTCATCGGTATCGAGGTTTAATTTAGCCAAACGGTTGAAATCAATCTCCTCCAGCATCTTCCAGTCAGGCTTAATGTTAACAGAAGCATCGCGGTTTCTTTGTGGCTTGTCATAATCTTTCCAGCCAAACTTCCTTCCGCCCCGCGCACCACCTCGTCCACCACGGGTGTCGTAATTGTTGTAGCCTTGTTGTCCACCTCGTCCTCCAACTCGTTGAAATTGACCTCTGCCACCACGGGTATCACCTCTTCCACCACGTTGTCCACGTCCTCGGGTAAAGGCTCCTCCACGTCCAAAGCGGGTCTTGGTAGAATCACGGGTGTTGCTAACAACAGAGAAGGTAGACTCGTCCTCGCCGAGTTGGACGGCAAATAATGAGGAAGTTCCAGCGCCGTAAACTTGTTGATCTATTGCACAGAAATATGTTAGCACAAAGAAACCAAATCATACCTATGTTTCCGAGACAAACGTCTAATAAATGCGAATAAATAGCAGATAGATTTTGAGGTATAGATCGCACCTCTGTAGTTTCGGTTATACTGCTGTCTCCCACCTCTGCCATCTCTTCCATCTTTGCCTTCGGTGGTCCAATCTGCCATGCGACCTAATTTATCGCCTTTAGAGTATGGGGCGTAAGGGACGCCATTTAATGTGGTGTCCGATGTGGTTGATGGTCCCCATGAGTCCTCTGATGGGAGCGCAGTTATGATATCTGAGAGTGAAATGGGCGCCATGATTGCGGCGAAAGATTGACGTTGAGATATGGGGGAAAGGATCAAATCAACACGACAATGAATTCGTAAATATTTCGATTTGTGGAGGAAAATCTTAGCGGGGCAAAAGTTCGCGATAGTAATTGATGCCTTGAAATTAAGTTCTGAAGCTGGTTCAGATTATATAATCTTGCACGTGATCATAATGATATAAAGTATCATTTCAACATCAAAACTTCAGGATGCAAAGCTAGACTATTAATTGACCATATGATAAGTCCTTGGCTAGGACAAGATATATATTGGTAGTACCAGTCCTCTCTAACTTCATGAAATATGGAAGAGTTACACATCTTACCAGAAGCAAACTCCGTAGAATAAGACACACCCAAGAGAAACCAAGTCCAGCATACTTTCCAGATTACCATAAGAGAGTGGAGTCTCATCTGATACTCTGCGCTGGAAGTCTCTCGCTGCTAGGTGGTGTCGGGGCTCAATCTGACCTGCTTGATACTTGATGTTTCGTGGTTAAATACACCTGGAGTTCAGTCTTCCAACGTTACTAGTCGCTTGCCCGCTTTGGAAATGAGATGCTACGTCGGTCATCTTTACAAAGTTTACATCGGTGTCATGTTGTTATATTTCATCACAAGTTTACATCGGTGCCAGGTGGTATTTCATCAAAAAGTTTACGTCGGTATCTGGTTGTATACTTCACCACAGAGTTTACGTCGGGGCCAGGTAGTATACTTCATCACAAAGGTAACATCGGTGCCATGTTGTATACTTCATCGCAAAGTTTACATCGGTGCCAGGTTGTATATTTCATCACAAACTTTACGTCGGTACCAAGTTGTATATGTTAAACACTGTATCCGAGTGGGTGGCTAGCTAATTTAGCAGTGTCCTCATCTTATTTCGAAATGGTCTTATCCTGTCATGTGTTAGGTCTGGCCATGAGCATCACCGAGACCTATCCCAAACGCCGAGCTACTTCGTCATATATAACGAGTTCCATCTTATTTCTAGGACTTTAAGTGTGATGTTCAAAAAGATGCAAATTATTCAACTACCATCGGATTCAATTAAGCGAACTCGAACTTTACGCACGTCCTGTTTGATAAATCCGGTTTGATCCCAAAATATGCATACGTTTACGATTCTGACGGACTTGTTCTCTGTCTGACCTTGTGCTATCTCTTAATTTGTTGACGATTGTCGCGCATCACTCAACATACTTTGTGTGCAGGAATGGAGCAGCCGATGGTGATGAGTTATTAGACAACCCTTTTCTTCTGCCTTCTCTGATGCTCCAAGCGACATCAGCTTAAACGCTCGAGATACTGCGCAGCTGGTGTCGATTGACAAAGACATGGCGAGGATGTCTGCCCGTCTAAAATATCTCCGAATTCAAAACTGCTATTGATATGAGTAATGATGGTGTTTCGGCGCTTTTTGGACTTGTGAAGCCTATGAGGCAAATGATTCGCTACAAGATTCTAATTTTCAGTATAGATGATTGAAATCGAAATAGAGTACTCACAGAAATATGACACATCGAAGACATAGCCTTGAAATTCCGCATGTCAAGGGGTGACAAGGGCATCGAATGTCTTAATGGATAGTCAATTCACCTGAAAACGGCCACTCGAGAGCCGAGCACATGTCTAATGTAGATTCATTTCAACATGAAATACATCGCAATATCAGAACTCGATTCTCTCTCTGAAAACAGATTCAATTCCTAAGAAAATCAATCTTGACCACCACGACCACCACCGCCGCCATTAAAATCACTAAAACTCACCATGAAAGAACTCTCCACCGCCTCTAATACAATTCACCACTTGTTCTTCTTGATCCTATTCCGGCATGGCAGCGATTGAATATTTCTCCTACGGATCCGAAACGTGCAAGATCACCTTCAATGACCTATGTCTTCTCGCCTGTAATTTGTGAACCTCTCTTCATGGAGAATTGAAAGCCCATCAGAATTCATCGCATCGGAGTGGGCTGTAAAGAAGAAGGCACCTGGTAAAGCTATTTTGCGAGAAGCTGTACCCGAGGCGAGGAAACTTGGTTGGCAGGTACGATTTTTGTGATGGATCCTGATGGGGAGGCTCGGTGGGCTTGGATGTATGGTGTGTATAGGGGGAAATGATAGAAAGGAAGCAAGGTTGAGGAGAATTTGGGATTGTGAGGAGCTAGGAGACAATCTACCGATGCTAATAATTCTTCTGGTAGATCAAAGATCTACTACTTTCAGCACTCTCGTTCAACCATTGAAATAACTTCTACAAAAATCTCAACATTCTAAAGGTATCATAATTGCTCGAAAACTCACCTCTTCAGACGAGCTTTCCATACGTTATTTGATTGAAACAGAATCGCGTCGCATCAGAACCAGCCTCCTTCCTCTAGATATATACTCAAATACTCCTATTTCATTTACCTAATACGAGTAGATCCTCCTGATAAATTCGAATCCCTCACCAGAACACACACCTTTGGAGAATCGTTCTGTGCTAATATGTCATTAGAGAGGCTGGACTAAATTGGATCATCACAAAACGGATTGAACTGAAAGAACTCCTGACGAGGGTTTTGGAGATATCAGGCGGACCATTTTGAAATGCTCTGGTTGTTCGATATTAGATTCCAGAACTTCGAATAGTCTAGTATTTTCCCCTTTTTATGTGTGGAGTTCGAAAACTATTGACCCTCATATACAGACGTATGTCTTCCTACTTAAACCACCACGAAATGTTTGACCAACTCGTTGAGGCTTTTTACAATCATGTATATCTATTCCGTTGCCTTGCTTTCATTCAAGAGCCCTGTTTACAGAAAGACTAGGTAGGAATTTAGCTCCTGACCATCTGCTGATTTCTTGCTGTTCATAATATGTGCTCTAGGCGCAAAGTGAGATTTTATGCTAACATTGACTTGAGTGTAAGGTATATATTGACACTCCATAGATTCTATCCTCTTGAGAATTGTACTTTTGACAATGAGTTAAATCTCGATCCCACTCATTCTGTGAACGTTTCCTGGGCTTTCACAGGTCAGACAACCATTGTAAGGTTATACTCATCAAATGCCCGTTGAAAAGTTACTGGTGGGTAGCCTTTCACTCTTACCTGAATTCGAGATGCTCTGATTTATAAAGGAAGCTGTCCTTCAGGACGTTTCACTTCGTGTATGATAATATATGAGCGCTTTCATGCTTTTTGTTCCAGGTTACGGTGCGAATGGTTGAAGTTGGCAAATCATCCTAAAATTTTGAACCATACCTAATTGCTTTCGAAAGCTATCCGGATCTATTGCAAATCTCAACGTAACTTCTGGGGAGTTAGGATGCGGATTGGTATAGAGCTGTCTCGGAATAAATGGAATAAATAGTTGGGTAGGAAGCAGAATAATTAATATTGCTTTTCTAGAAGCAAGGAACTTGCCTTCTACAACGCGGGGCCAAACACTCCATTAGTTGGGGATGAAATTGCACCTCCACTTCATCTAGCACGGATTCAATACTTGTATACTTTCCTTGATAATCAGAATCATGAGGAGGGAAAATCGAGACCGTATATGATGTATGTGTGATATAGCATCGTACCTTGTATTGAAGTGACTTCATTACTTCATGATTGAGGATCCGCTACTAACCGAGGCCAGGGGCTGAATAGGGCTGCATGATTGCTATATAAGGTGATGCATAGGTACAGAGTGAAGAGTGCAATCGATAATTATGTACACTAATCTTGTGAGATTTAGTAAAATTATCCACAGTTGAATTCATTGTTATCATCATTCGTTATGTAGCGAACCAGAGGAGAATATATGCAGCATTCGAAAGGAGATTTGAAGATCCTGAGTGATGCAATGTCTCTCGCTTTCAACAACACCTGTATGCAAAAACGGATATCAATGATGCTTGAGGAGTAAACTAAATGATATCATCTGATACTTGAAGGTTCGTATTCACTGTTCAGCTAGTTGTGACTAAAGCTGTAATATAGGTGGAGTTTTGAGGACATTGAAGAAGTGAACGAACAGAAGTGAACGAACACAAAGTAGTTACTGGCATCAAAGAGTGACAACGAAGAAATTTATTCAAATAATCAAAACGTGAGAGCAAATTCTCGATGAAAAATTATATTTTGATTTCATGTCTACATGCCATAAGAAATGAATGGCATGCATGTGGTATAAACTATACAAGAAGGTGTTACAATGTCGCCAAAGTAATAATCAGAAAAATATTATATTTACAACTCCAATCTCTTGCTCGTCCTGCTCAATCACTGAAGATCGCGCTTCTGATTTAAAGGTACTCCCAAGCGGAAACAGCACCAGTGTATGGGACAGTAGCCACGGCAATACCAGAGCAGTTACCGGTACCAGATCCTCCAAGAGTGGCGTAAACTTGGTAGATACCAGGTCCATCAGTGCTAGCACAAGCAATGAATCCGTAGCCTGGGAGAGACATCTGTCCCAAAGCGCCATCCTGACCGGCGGTGTAGGTCCATCCGGTGACGACGCCTCCTTGAGTATCACCGGAGTGAGGAGGGGTGAAAGAAACAGCGGCGCTGGTGGCAACGTAGACTTGTTGACCGCCTGGAACTTCGACGTTCATGGAGAGAGTGTTATCACCAGCGGCGAAGGTGGTGTCGGTACCGGCTATGTGGTTATTAGTTATCTGATTGTCTGAAGTAGGGTAGTGAGTTTATGACTTACCAGGGCAACCCTCAGCCAATGGGCAGTATGAGGAAGTATCCTTTCCGATCCAGAGACCGCCTTGATAGGCGACGATAGCTTGGTTTTGGAGATCGGTGCCGGACCGGATGGAAATCAATCCGAATTTATCACCTGCGGCACGGGCCGAGACGATTGGGGATGCGGCAGCAGTGCTGGCAAGGAGGGTAGCGATGATGGTCTTGGAGAACATGTTGATGGTTGTTTGAATTGGTATTACTTTAAAAGTTTAGAGTGAAGTGATTGATTGAAGTGATTGAAGTGATTGTTTGATGTGATGAGAAGAGAATAATATCGAGAACTTCCTCGACATTTATATACTCATCTCTCCTCTCCCAATTGCCCCTTTCAATATACCGGAAACCCATCACCCCCATGACTTCATCGCCAACACACATCATTCCATTCAACCTTAACCCGCACTGGCAGCCGAGGAGATTTGGATAATGCATAGCTACTATCAATATTCCGATTGGTGCGGAAGATTGCACCACCTATTTTCCTTTTCGTATGACTCCACAATGAGGCTTGTACAACTTTAACATGACTCCATATATCTCTCGTATTGATTATATGCTAGTAGTAGTAGCATAATGCTACTATGGTTAAAAAGTGGAATCCCCCACAATATAGCTGGCGGTGAGTGGATGAAAAAGGGGTTTAACCTTTATTCCTAATGCCTTACGATTCTTGAATCAACCTTAAAGTGTTTCTAGAAATATCAATGGAACAAACGGATGAACCCTTGAATTTTATTTAATCTGAGGGATTTTTATGCTCTGGTTAGGTTACACAGCCACTTCTTGGTTCAAGGGGGTTTTAGCTTTCATCCGAACTATATTAAGTTGGGATAAAAACAGTGAGTAAAATCTATTTTCAGAATACGAGCAAAACTGCCGATCGTTGCCAAAGATCGTCAGAGTCAAATTAACAAGTGCTTCGGTACCTCAGCAGCGCTGCTGGCACTGATGCCATCATGCCACAAAGGCTGCCAGGTCCGACAATTTGAACTTGGCATTTGTGAACGGTTCTTATCAGTAGTTATGACGGCATTCTCATTGTCAATTCTAAGCGTGCTTGATCTTAACGATATGGTTGGACTTGGGATAATCAAGAGAACTTTGAACAAACAACAAATCATTTGGGGATGCTCGTATTCCTCGACTTGGACATTAGGTCGACACAGAATGTCTCTCGTGTCGTATAAATTCGTGTCGGTGTAGCTGCAATGTAGAGTAGTAGTTTCATTACTCACTAGCGCCGGTGTACGAGTTTTGGTGACAGAACGTCGTTTGTTGTGGACGAAGTTTGAGGTTTGGGTTTGAAGTGTTCTAGATTGAGGTTTCTTCGTGTTGGTCTTCTTGGTTGTGTGAATTGTATCGTGTGGGCTATGGTCTAGTAGTTTGGACATCTACATCTACGATCTGCCAGTTGCTGCGGCATTCTCTTTTAAGAACCGCCAGGAAACTCATTACTAGATCTACAGGACTGGATTCGTATCGGCAGGTATAGGAGGGAAATCTTTCGAAACTGCAAAGACAAACGATCTAAAAGGGGAATGGCAAGACCGACGATCAATATCCGTTCTTCAAAAACCAAGTTTTATTACCAGTAATGCTCGAAGCTTCTATCAAAAATTCTTGCGTTATCATTTCCGGGCTTGAAAGTGTATTTCGATTATGATCTCCAACAAATTTCGATCTTCACTAAAGCTGGCAACTTTAATCATACATCTCCAAAGAGTTATTATCAGTTCACAGCTCCCATGCTCAACCCTTTCTCGATTCGTCGGCCAACACCTCAACTAGCTTCCCTCTGTGTGAGTTTCGGCACAATCAAGTCTATACTCAGTTCCTGTTTAAATTCGTAAGGGAGATAGGATCACGATGCCCACTTTGAACGTCACATAGGTAATTGCTCAAAGCTTCACACAACGAATGGTTTCGACGCCTAAACGCCTTTCTTGCCAGAAGAAGGGTCCATGGAATCGGCAGAAGCATACTGATACCTGCTACCTGCTATCCGTCTCAATTAACGAGTCACTGGATGCAAAATAGCTCAAGCAAACTAGCTCACACAGCACTCACACAGAAAGAATAGATTACAACACTCAACGCACCGCCAACAATTTGAATAAAACTTCCAGCACCAGCACCAGCTTGACCAAATCCTGGTTCGGACGCTCACACATCTCGCCTGAGTGCAAAAAGGCTTCATTAAGACGTCTCTGCACGGTAAATCTGGCTTTTAGACTATCATTAACATTTTCTCGCGGAAAAGGGGCACCTAACATCATTATCCTCACCACGTATAGCTTCCTTGCCACGCACAGCTCATCTCCATCTCCAATACGAATATGGTTTGTTATGACGGTTGGTTCCCTTTCCCCACAATGGCCATAGATATCGCATATCCATTCCTTCCCATCCAAAATTCATCCTCAACTACCTACCTACTCGAGACTTCCACTCTAGAGCACTAGTCTTGACAAATAAATAATGTAGCTAATTTGCTCAACATTTATGGTGTTATCTTTTGAAACATTGGCATCGATTTGGTTGGCCGAAAACATCACATATGGCGGGTCGAAAGTCAGATTGAGGTTTGAGGGTTTGAGAGTTGGGATTTGAGGGGGCGGTATTGGATTGGGTATATACTGTATCTACGGTTGTTATTCATCGAGTAACTTGGTTCAAATTGTTTGATTTGAAGGAGAGGAAAGGATAATATAATAGGATAGGATAGGATGCGGGTGTGTTTAGGGATGGGTATGAGTATGAGTGGTGTGCAGCGGAGAATGCTAGGGAGCTGTGGCTTTGGAACGACAATCTTCAGGGATTAATCTAGCTGATTCTTGTCTAGTGTACTAGATTGGGTGAATTAGTTTGACAGGTTCCATTCATGCTAAAGGGGGAATCCTTGATGAGGGGGAATGAGGGAATGAGGATAATTTAGCTTTAGAATCTCCCATGGAATTACTCGAGTAGATGAGAAGGAAGATATTAGATTTACATTGACAACTACGAGTGGTATCAGGAGCTCCGAGTACTTAGTTTTATGCTCTCATGATGAAAGTCAGAGTGACTACGAGTACAGACCTGCACAATAACGTTTTGTCGCCAGCCTTTCGTCTTTTAGCTATGATACTGAGATGGAAAGGACTAGCGGTTGTCGAATCTTTGAACGTTCTTGTTGGATAGAACGACACCCTCCAGGAATCCCCTCAAACGTCCCCGCGAAGACGAGGAAACTGAAGGAGCTATATTTTCTGAAGATGAGATTTGGCCAAAACATTCTTCTTCGCAGATTGTTACTGAGAGCGATGAGGGATCAGTGGTAACTCCAGATCATCTTCGTGGAACTTAAATCAATACGTCAGGATTTTGTAATATATAGAATACTCCAGAATTTCCCGGTTAAGATTGACTACATGGAAGGATTGGCTGTTTTCCCTGATAAAGATACTAATCACTGTTTTGATACGGGTTTACCGCTCCCAGAATGGTCCTTAAAAGCACATTGTGACTTTCTAGCCAATAGTATCTTTAGTAGTTGTCACAGGATATTACTTCAATAGGTTATTGTGTGTCGCCTGTGGACACAGCTTGGGGAGACCGGCCATGAATTAACCTCTGGTTAAATGTAACATATACTCAACATGGCACTCAAGTGACTTTGATCAATTAGCCATTTTGTTGCCTCATAAATTCCCATTGTAGTGGAAGACATTGACTGGATCGCTTGTTTGTTTCTTTTAAAAGTTTGAAAATAGGGATATTATACTTGGAGGGCAATTCGAATGAACACATCCCAGTACTCGTACATTCTGTCACAATTAATAGATGACCGCCACAGCTGGAGTCTACAGTTCGTTGGGTTGGAGGATAACAAGGCTCAAGATACCATACATTTGACACCGTTGCTCCGCGACACTTAATCTTGCGAGATGTTTGAAAAATAGAACCATCGTTAAATACGATGACAAAGGAGAGCTACGCCGTCATTTTACATGGATCCTCGCCAGTCACGACGTATTCAAGATAGATTAGAATTGTCGTCATCAAAATCCAGAGTATCAGCTTCCGAATCGAGGTCTTCAGGCATAATGCGCATCCATATCTGTACAGTAGCAATATTGATTGATTCCTCCAGGAGAGGAGGCAGACGAACCCTATTCCAATACACTCGGCATCTACAATATAACTGCACCGCCGAGTCAGTCGCGCACCCCTCTATAACCATGGTCCTATCCGTTCAAAGCAAGAGATATTGGACAGCGAGCAATCCGCAGTGGTGAGGCGTGTCTGGATATTAGTACTAACATTGAGTGTGTGCATACCAGGAGCCTTTTGACCGCCGGAAAATATTCGAGCATAAGCTGTGGGAAAAGAAAAACGAGATGAGAGGCCAAATATCACATGTGAGTTGATAGATCAGATTGTTACGAATAACTTGCTAGGAGTATGTCGTTAGGTGTGAGGAGTTCGTATTTACACCATTGCCTTGCCTTGATTGGTCTTCGAATATGTACGTACTCTATATATGGCTTGAATCTATCACTTGCGGAGAGTATGATGACTCTCTGTCAAGGACTATACCATCTGCATTAGTATATCCGCATGGACGTGAAATTGAATACCAACCGCACATCGAGATATCAAATTAGGTAATATCCTTCTCCAGTCCCGGGATCCGCTCTACATCAAGTTTACGTGCAGACTTCCGTCTCAAAAGCATACTATGCAACAGTTTGAAAACAATTTGTGATACACCCAACATACCTTGCACCAGAGGTTTATGAGAGGGAGAAATACACGCCAACTGTAGAAATCTGATCTTTTAGTCTAATTGTCTACGGGTGTACCCTTGGTGGCCTTCCGAGAGATAAACAAGAATACAAAGAAAGAGAATAGTGTGAAGAACTTATCAACACAGTCAACAGCCAGGAGGATGGGGACCTGATTGACCTCTTATATCAAAAGCTTTGGCATTCATAGAATTGAAGTCGCGATGTTCAGTCGGCATTGCTACAAGGAAGCATCGCGACGCATTGCATCCTATGAGCGGAGTTCAACGCCAAAACCAACATCATATGGTCACAAACCAGTGACCGACTATGCGACGGAAGGACAAGCATGTTAGAGGTGTGAATCTATGGACCTCTTCAAATCTAATAAGTACCGCTAAATATTTTTATTACACATTAATAGGTCGATTATTGTATCAAATGAAAGTCTGGTTAGACCTAATCAGCGGAACTATTCCCAGCATGCAGATTCAACGAATTCCTTCCATCCCTCTGACTCTAACGTCCGAAACACCAAATCAAATGTGTCGCTTCCCTTTCCTAGAGTTCCGCCCATCCAGCCAACTCCAACAGTCTTCAGCCTGTGCAATCTATTTCGGAATTAAACTTGTTTGGTGGAAGCTGGTTGCAGAATCCGAACTGTGTCGGATCCTCTGTCGCTGCTAAGAGACATGAATCATCCAACTTCGGGAGCTTTGATCGCTTGCTAACAGAAGATGTCCCACGAACTACTCCAGAGCCTGTGTGTGAGCGAGTCGATTAATATTATACACCAATCGGGTTAGAAAAAGCTTTTACGCAAAGGAAGTACCGGTATCACACCAACGCTAGAGACCCAGGGGAAGGGGAGGGGGGCAACTTGGGTTCAAACGTTAAAATCGCTCTAAGGGACAGCGAGGCGTGCAACGTTCCAAATTAGATGAAAGGGTGTAGGGGTACCTTCCTGGCGACAGGTTTGCTTGAAGGGGTAAGTTGACGAGAAAGCTGTGAAAACATAATGAAGTCGTATATCATGGGCACTTCCACACGGTCTTACTTCTACGTGACTGCAAATCCTTCCGTATAGATCCGTATGTACACAATAGTACCAGCAATAAAAACCCCCAATTGAACATATCTACGACAGCACTAGAGTTTACCTAGATGTTCTCGAATACCAGCTGTTCCGACACTGTCCATCTCCATTTCAGGTACTTGCTTGTAAGAATCTCACCATAATCAAAATTCTTGATACACCTTCTCGTGATGTAAGTAGCACCTAGGAATACGCGCACCTCGGCTGCGTCCGTTGTGTTGGTATTGGCCATATCCGCAGCTTTCCAGCACGCTCATGCGTAACATTGACATTTGCGTCGTGTTCTGAGTGCCGTAACTTCGTCGAAGAATAGCTTTTATTGAACGACAGCTTTGATTTGGACCATGAAAGATGTAGTAGGTAACCTTCTTCAAGCACCCCTAGACGCCAAATCGTAGCTCTCGCAATCCGCAAACATCTCGTCAATATAGAAGACACACTCCTGAAGCCCCGCTTCGCCGGCTGCAATTGACGGTCTAGATCCCACCCAGTTCGCGTTTGATAGGACCTCCTGCAACACCAAGTATATACTCGGTGAAGTAAAACCCAGCCGTGATGTATTCCCTATGACGTTCTGATAGGCTGGAAATATCCAATGCCCCTGGTCGTGAATGCGAAGTAGTATCTGTGAGGTGAACAGATCGCAATGCTTCAGCACGCATGTCTGATGTAACGCGGACGTGACAAATAGTCGTGAACTTTTGCCATAACTTTCATGTGGCACCACCCAAACGACCGAAGTAGCGTGACTAGCCTTGGTACCTTTCACTTAAAGTGGCTTGAATCCTTCTTTACATCCTTTAGTGATGTGGACGTACGCACTGAATCTGCCCTGGACTAGCCCCCTCACACATCATCGGTGGTCAAGAATAGGATAGCAGACTTCATCTGAATTTTTGGCGTATTGTGAGTGTATTTGTTCAACATCCTGTGATGACAAGTCGTTTTGAGGCTACCAACACAATTGTATAAGCCACACACTCCGACACACTGAAGGCTGTACCCAATACACCCAAGAATATTGAGATAGCTCTCTCAACACTGCGCCCCCAAGGCACTATGCTACATACTTCAGTTGTGGATACTTCCCTCATCCCTCTTATCTGCAACATACTTTCGCAGAACCGATTTGTTTGGCTTGTGACAGGTTTATTTCGTTGCCCTGCTTGGCAAACTATCTTCAAGAACCCTTAGGGTAATTCCATCTCCGTTGATATCATCATGGCAAGGACGAAGCTAAATATCAACTCTTTGATTTAGTCGAAAGGTTTTTTAATATTCCTCCGCTTCACCCAAGAATCATCAGAGGAAAGTACAATGGCGCTCAGCCTTTGCCTTTTTGTTCCTCTCAACCAATAATTTGTATCCTTTTCGATCTTCGCAGGTACACTGGTACAGTCTCGTTCACCCCAGAATCATCGGAGGAAAGTACAATGTCGCTAGGCCTTTGCCTTTTTGTCCCTCTCAACCAGTAATTTGTATTCTTCTCGATCTTCGCAGGTATAGTCTCTTTGACTCCAGAATCATCGGAGGAGATTACAACGTCGCTAGGTCTTTGCTCTTTTGTTCCTCTCAACCGGTGCTTTGTGCCCTCCTTGATAGCCCTCGCAGGTATGGTTTTCTTTTTCACAATCTTTTTACGTTTGCTACCCTTTTCAACCGTTGTTTGTTTTGAAGACAAATTCTTAGGTGGGCTTCTTTGACTGTTGTCTTTCGCTTTGCAAGTACATGGTTGTTCAGGTAAGCCATCTTCACATGTAAGGGCGCTGAGTCTGGATGTTTCGGTTGATGGTTGTTCGGATCTGGCTCGTTCGGATGGTGGTTCAGGTGTACCGTCCTTGACATCGTCCATCCACGAATCGATCGAGCAGAGAGTCCGAGTGCCTGAAAGCGGAGAAGCTGGAATCTGCGGCACGTCCACATATACGCAGGTATATTTTGGCTCTCCATTTGCCATAGCTTTGCGAACCCAGTACATACCAGCTATCCTTGCGATATCTTGATAATATTGTGAGTTTAAATTGTTATAACGTTCACAAACATCGAGGTGCGCCCGGATGAACTCATCACATTTGCCCTTATTACCCTCTATCAAGTATCTTTCTCCACACTCGACGAACTTGCGAGAGACTACATCCAGCACCTCTCCTATGCATTCAATGGGAAGGTGTCGTAATGCTTCCTCTGGAGTTGTCTTCTCGCCTTCTGGAGCTTCCTCATGAAGACGCTGTAGCTGCCTACGATACCATAACTTGTTCGACGCATCCGACATATTAGTGGATGCTGTAATTGCTCTCTAGTTTGGAGTGGTGTTTTTGTTGTTGAAAAGAATGGCTGCTGTTTGAATCTTGGTGTTCTTGTTTTGTTTGAGTTACGAACGGCAATTGCCGGAATGTATAAAGATCTAGCACAAGGAGAATTTAGGCTAGTAATAAATCGGCAACTACTCTAAAAGATAATCACTTTGCACAACTAGAAACTAGACAGCTAATTTATAGTTATAGAGAAATACTATACTCTAGTACTGTTTTGAGAGTTCAATTACGAGTACTGGAATTAGTGATCGACTCGTTCTTTGCGGATGGATAATAGATATGCAAGGGAGACATTGTTTATTTCAGCCTTGAAAAGCTACAGTACCCAGTGGCTAAAATCTATTTCTGGAGATTTTTGCAGTATTGAGTATTGTGCGCTGGCGAGCTCATTCGTATGTTAGTTATATGTTGTGAGACTCTCCTGCTGCCTTGTTCTGGACAATTATCTTTAATCACACTAAATCCTTCTGTGTTGTATCTCCAGAATAATGGATCAATATGAATCAATACAAAGCCCAAAGCTACTTTGGTTTAGTGACTTAATTAAACTGTCCGACATAGCGTTTATCATTGAATGTTCCAACATTTTCGCAGCACTCCTGCGAAAAAACCCGGATTGCACACTAGAAGACTTGATAAGGTTTGACTCAAGTGTGACAAGCGAATCGGACAGACAGACTCCTTGCGTCGACGTTGGCCCTACTGCATGGCTTTTCCCAAGATGGAATGGAGGAGACAGGAGCATATGGGTGTTTGGTTCGAATTCGAAATGCGATATCATACTTCCACACCAAAAACACTTAAGTCGGAAGCACTTCGCCCTCTACCCATCTCAGAGCGGTGTGTGGATGATCAAGAGTCTCCGAGGGCTGACTTTCTTAGATGAAGAAGAATTACAGTCGGGAATCTCGATAGCATTGAATCCGGATTCAGCGCACATTGTTCGGGCTGGATATTTCGAGTGCACTATACATCCTATACTGCATAAGTCTTCGGCTATCAACCCAGCTTCATTACTCCTTGACTTAAACTTGCAGAGTCAAGGAACTCGCACAACACCTTTGACCCAAGTGGTTGATCGGCCCTTACATATCATGAAAGAGGCTTATTATTACCACTCGAAGAAACAGATTTCAGTTCAAGGAGAGTCGGATGTTTGTATGGCGATTCAGAAGACAACTGGTCAACATTGCATAGCCAAGATATATAGGAATGGCAATGGGCGGATAACTCGCGAAGTAGCTCACCAACAGTTCGAAATGATGAGGAATCTAGAGGTTTGCAATCCCCAAGAAGCATTATCTGTCTTACTAACATACTATCATCTCATACAATGCATTCATTGATGGGGAAATTGATGCCAAAATTATCACGCCGTACCTCGACGTATCGCAATTCCACACCGCAGCGATAAATCTTGAACTCGGCTTTATTGTTTACAAACATATATCAGGCGCATTGGCTAGTCTGGCAGAATTTGGGATTGAATATAACGATGTGAATGAAGAAACTATTTTAATTGGACAGAATGATGGTCGTTATACGGCATATCTCACCGGGTTCTCCGAGTATACTATCATGAAGGTTGACTCCAAGAATCTTGACATGGCAAACCTCATCTCTACAGTTGGGGAAGTGCTTCCAGGGTCTGCAGGTTCTCCTTCTTGCGATCCCCAATGGAGGTCACTAATTTTACAAGCCACCAAGGGACAGATGACTGCCAGTGAGCTTTGAGCTGGGTTGGAGGCAATGGTACCCGGGTATGAGTCGAAGCCCTTCGGAAATGTTTATGTGAGTAAGATAATGACAATCCAGCGAACGGTTGATGAGAACGGTACAGAAGCAGTACGGCTGCTTGACTTGCTCCGAATTATTCTTCATTGTCGCCCAAAAAATTCGAAAGATACGGAAATTGGTATCCGACAGGTTATACGGAAGAGGGATTTGATAAAATTCAACGGAGAAGATTATTGCACTCTTCGATACGCAGCTAAGCTTCGGAGACATGTCGGTCACTTTTCTTCCATAATGCATCTAAGTCCACTCAAGCCCAGCAAGGTTTGTGAGTACCAAACAAAACACCGTTTGTCTGTTCCCATTAGCTATCATAAGTCAACTGGAATGGTTAATATCACTCAAATATTGAACCTCTTTGACACCAAGACCGTTCCCAAAATAGAGAGATCATCGGTTCAAGAAGTTCGCGGATCATCCCAGTCGGAGGGTTACTATATTGATAGACAGTCCGCGACGAATATTATGTTGCAGCATTCCCTGAAAACGAAAAATCCTTGGAACGTTAACGAGCATGTTTCTTCACCAAGCGAGTTCTTCGGTAACAATAAGGAACACTGTGTTGCTGTCGTAAACGACGAGATGATAGGGCACTTAGTGGTTGATCGACACCTCAAATCAGTGATGTGGAACGGCAGAACAATGACGTTGGAAACGGCCAGGAAAGAGTGTGCGGAGCATGGATTGAACCTGGCGTGTAATACCCTTCATGACTTAGAATCTTCCGAGTCCACTGGGTCGTTGTTTTACACCGATGACGATATCTTGAGATTGCTTGAGGAGTCAGATCTGTCGACGGCAGCAACTTACGTTCCCCCCACTAGATCTTTTGATAGTGATCGATTCGAGTTCCAACCTATCGACACAATGAGGACGGTGGACATCATTCCACCACAGCACTATACTCAAAGGGTCGAAGAATGGATCGCAATTTCTCCTGACATGCGTCGCACCAGATGGGGCAGAAGAGATGGGGCAGATCCTGTAGGTCAGGCCATTGTCCCAGCCCACGCCATTCCCTCAATTACGAAGAGTAGGGGCACTTCAGACTGGGTCACTTCAGAGCATCCTTCTAACCATTCTGACTCCGGTGAGTCACGTTTTTAGTATATACAAATATTTTATACTAACCGGACCTAGAAACAGTTGAGTTGACTGTCCCCATGGAATAGATAAGAAAGGAGATTTTAATACAGGTGAATACATTCCGAGTATTCCATGAATCCATCGAAAACAAAGATTCACCATGCAAGAACTGGCAGCTCTAACCATTTTCTCAAATCACTCATTATTTTCTTTGAACTAGTACGTTGTTTGTGAAGGAATGATCTTGAAGGGAAGCTCTGATATTGAACTTGTTGACATTACGTCTTACTTCTCATTGATTCATTATTAGTTGACATAAAACGTATCTGTTACATATTTCTATGATTTAAATGTGTCTATCTCCCATCTCCATCTCCATCTCCGCTATTCTCAATCAACCCCAGGCTCTTTGGGTCTATATCTGAAGCACTGGCTATATACAAAAGGAAATTGTAGCACTCTTACCTTGATGACATGGGAGAAGAACATCAACTCAACCGGCTACATATATCCTAAGCGATATAGTTCACATTCCCACTTTGGGATATTTCCTTTGCCGTGAGGTTGGTGAAGTTCATGGTGACGAGGTATGGAAATGCGATCATTCGATACTAATTAAGAACTTATTCGTTATGTTCTTCTTGGTTGTATTTCGCTTTATTGAATCGAAGACAAACACTGCGTTGGCTTTCCCGTTGATGGAGAGCCGGTCCATCCGGTCCATCCTTGTATGGTGGCTGAAGCTATGCAATGGAAACAATATTTCCTAATCCGTATTAGCCTACAATACCCTCCCCAAGCTTCAAACATGGTACAAAATACCACATGATTCCAGTGGTTTGGAATCATTCCGAACGGGTCATGTCAGATGTTAAACTCCGATATTTTCAAATCAAATATACCCGTACACAATATGCCAATATCTATATCAAATCACCTTCCTCTGAAGGAAATTTTGGAATCATCATAGCTTGATTTGATCTTCCAGCATCATAAGTTCCATCACTCCGGAAAGATAGTCATGTAGCTCATGACATTTGGGTATTGGTGGTTATGATCTGGCATGAAATCGAACCTGAGATGGAGATGGGTCGTTGTGATTTGGGATATATATAAGCGTATACACATCTTTTCTATCGTATTATCATCTTCATCTTCATCTTCATTCTCAGCTCTCAATCTTCATCCAAAGCCGCGATCCTAAATTTTCAACACAACTTCATTTACCTCTCTCCTCTTCTTCTACGAGTATAGTTGCCTGGATAGCTACTCTACTGAATAGCTATATCTAGCGCAACTCGGTCTTCCAATCCCTTCCGGAATAACAGATCATCCCCTAGAGCTCGGAACTGCGACCATCTACCCAAATTTCTTCTGCATTGGTTTAACAAGCCTCAAGCCTCAAGCCTCAAGACCGATTCCAACAATGCATCTCTTCCAACCTCTCTTCTTTACAACTCTCGTCCTCGCAGCTGCAATCATCCCCCGCCATTCATCCCGGGATGCAGCAGCATACTTTCTCGACAACAATCCCAATGGTTCAAGCATCATTGCCTTAAAAATAAGTCATGAAGATGGAACCATTTCATCACCTATACGTACTTCTACCAGAGGAAAAGGGATGTTTGGCTTGAGTAACCTAGCAGCGAATTCAACCCCTACAGTAGAAACTCAAGGTATGCATCCAATTCGATATACATTTGAGTTTTTTATTGAACTTCTGCTATAGATACCCTGTTTAGTCAGAATTCTATTATTGTATCAGGAGATGTAAGATGAATTTCAGACATCCGAGAATTGAGTTGAGAATCGTTACTAACAGGATAGAAACTCTTCACCGTCAACACTGGAAGTAACACTGTGGCTATGTTCTCAATTGACCCGAATAATCCATTGCACCCGCGTATGATCGGTAATCCTGTCAATACTATGGGAGAATTTCCAGCCGCTGTTGCATACTCGTCAAAACTCAAGATTGGTGAGTAGCAGTCATATTTCGATATCAATCATCTGTCAGGATCAATTGTTGACAAAGTCATTAGCTTGTGTACTCAATGGTGGTGCCGTAGCAGGGGTAGCTTGTTTCTCGGCCCATCATACCAAAGGTTTATCACCCATTGGATGTCTCCGAAACATCCCCCTAAATCAGTAAATTTCACTCTGCCCTCCCTCTACTTTAATCATCTAATCCCACCTACAGAACAACACCACCCCTGGGTCCCTTCGACACCGTCTCGGATATTCTCTTCAACCCCTCTCAAACCACCCTTCTAGCCTCTGTAAAAAGGAATGGCATTGTTCCAGGCAACTTCTACGCCTACCCCGTGTCCCACCACGACAACAGTATTTCCACCACCCCCATACTATCTCAACCTCCCCAAGTGCTCGTAAACTTTGGCATTAGTTTCCTCGGTTCTGACCATCGACTTGCGGTCGCGGACGCTGCATTTGGTGCCTCTCTCCTTTCTATTTCGCAATCTTCGGTTGTAACAGAGGATGTACCAATCACTATAGCTGGACAAGTAGCAGTTTGCTGGACGGAATATAACCCCAAAACAGAAGAGGTTTACCTGATGGACGTAGGGGTTTCGAATATTACAGTAGTAGACGCGAAGTCGGGGGCAATCAAGAAGGTAATCCAGCAGGACAACACGGGACTGGGTAGTTTGGATGCTAAGCTTGGAGGAGACTTCTTGTACATATTGAAGAATGCGCCGGAAATCAGTGTTATTGAGACTAGAAGTGGGAAGACCATTCAACGTTTTAATTTGACGAGTTTGGGAAGTAGACAAGGGTTTGTGGGGATGGCTACCTGGGGGTTTGACCGAATGGTCTGCTAGAGAACGTATTTAATGGTAGACAATTTCTTTTGGGCTGAGGGTTCTCTTTAATTACTTCAATAGTTGATGACAATCATTAATTAGTCTTTCAAACCCTCACTAAAGTAATCTATCTACTGAACTATCACTAGATGGTTCGACTTTGACGCAAGCATGTGAACCTTGATAACCCCTTCATTTAGGCCGCTTAGTTGAACCGAGTCTAAAACGCCTTTCCGCCCCTCTACAACAGCGTACAGGTCGCATTCTCATCCCCAACATTTCTGTTGAATGTAACTTTCACTCGAAAATTAAATTAGATCTGATCCGCGACATACAATTCTAATCATACAAAGATTGATTGTTCGGATCGCGGTCATTCTTCAAGCGCCTCTAAATATAATCTGACACAGACCCCGAAAAAATTGTTAGGCTATCAGGGTAGGCGCTATGGGTCGGAGCTCGCAAATGGTTAGGAAATACTGTAATAGTAATGGAGAATACGAGTTAGATACATAAGATATGAACATGCCCCTACCTACTTGCTTTCGGCTGTTAGATTTCATCGTTCAGATACGACTTCTAGCACATTTTAAAATAGCAGAGTAGCAGCAATGTGGATCCCTATCAAGGATTCCAGGTATCACCAACACATGCTTTTCGATCCCATGCCTCTCCTAAGCCATAACCTGGTTGGAGACCGTTGGACATCTTCAAAATGATGTGCGGAAGTAGCGGAACCAACAACGGAGTTTTGGATTACCCATGAGACCGTTTATTTACCCAAACTTCCTTGTCCGCGAACACACCACCACCTCAAACATCGCATGCGGCATCCATACCGATAGCATCAAGCGCTTTAACGCTATGTGGCAACCTACCCTCGCTCTAGAACAGCTGGATGTGGAAGAGAACAGCGAAAAATGTGATGAGTCTAACGAATCAACGCGTCCAATTCGTCAATATGGCACGATCTTTTCTTTTTGGGCTCGGTGCGTCATTAACACAACTTTAACCGCTCTGAGAAACTTTCAATACCACACAGACCTAAGATTGGAAGGATGAGTTGTTGGTTGGTTTCTGGAGGACATCATGTTATTGTATAACTTTCAGAACGCGCCAGAAATCATTTTAAGTGAATTTTCCTCAATTAGCACTTCCCTCTCAATCCAATCCAATACAAGACGACATTCCCAGCTTCCGCATCAGATTAAGTCAGGTACCACCATACAATATTCTGTGGGGTACTGTAATATACTGTTATTGTCATACTCCGAGTCCGAGTTATCTATACTCCGTTAGTTTTAAAAAGCTTCTTTGAAAATTTGATGGGTCTCCTTACTCTGACAGCAAGCCACAACCTCGTATCAAACGAATTAAACCTAGCAAGTCAATACGATTGGTAGTTGACAACTAAAGGTTTGAATAAGTATTTGACGACACCCAGATCTTCGTAAATCAATACAAAATTCATCCTTTCCGTCACCCTCATTTTTTTTGCAGCCATATCAGACATACCAGGAATCAGACCAAATCTGCGCCTGTAACAATTGATTATTAGTTGGTATGTATGTATTGAGTCTAAACTACTCTTTAAAATTCACTTTATTTTGTGGTCCTCATTGATTGATTCTTTCACGGAATGATTGATAAATTCCAAGCCTTTCGAGTCAAAAAATAAGAGTAGTATCAAATAACTAACAACCATCTAGAACATCTACGACTTCCATTCCTCTACAATCTTTTCTAGAAGCCGCAAAACTTCATTAGAACTACCAGACCTGAAGTAAACGAACATACTTCTAGGTCCTATCGAATTCCTATCTTCGCTCTCTTCAATTAGGCCAATACCCGCGCCTCGCAAAAATGCTTCAAACCCTCGTAATCGTCCTCATTTGCATCGTTGCAGTAATTGTCCTCATCGGTCTCGCCGCATTGATCAATACGGGAACGAAGAAGCATGGACCTGAAATACCTGTTTAAGATGCAAATACAAAGCCGAGCGATATAATTTTTCTTCGAATATTTCTTCTATAATACCCCTCGATAGCGACTCGGAAACAAAATCACAAACAAAAACACAAATTACCATGGCACTCTTCACTCATTGAATGCAAAAGAACAACATATTGATCATACTTCGATTTTATACATTTACCACTTGTCAGGATACCATGGGAAGTATTGGATATAACTATAGGGATTTGGGTTGCTGGAAATAATGGCGTTGAGGGATGGATACAAACGGATACGGCGCGCTTTTCTTTTCAGTTTGAAGGTCCGGGAGGATAATACCTTCGTGTACAATTTGGGGGAAGGGTGGACCAATATTTATGAATGGATGTGGATTGGTTGTGGAATGATTGGGTACCGGATGGATATGTGCAATGTCAAATGGAGGATTGCTGCATGGTAGGCTTGGAGAGGGGGATAATTTGAGCATACCACCCAGGCTCATAGAATCCATAACGATTTCTCATTTCGACGGTAGACAAGATTGTGGAATGAGGAACGATCATGGAGGTATGCTAGGCTGGGGTGCTGGGGTCAATGGATATATGATCGAGTATATGAAGTATATGGATTCTCACCATTCCTTGCTATCCTCTTTTATGGATCTAATGACTTTCGACGTTGAGTGAGGTTACAAGAGTGTGATTCTGCTGTTTTGATATCTGGACTTGTTTGTAAATGGTTTCGGTACAAGCGTACACATGGCAAGTTCAAATCTTACCATCATCGATTCCATCTATACATGCAATACACATGCAATGGTTCGTGTTTGAAAGCATCCCTTCAAATTAGCCATCAGAACTTCTATTAGCATCTAATAATATGATCGTACACTACTCTTCAACCACCAACACCAAGGACTCTCCCTCCATTGGATACTCACCATTGAAACCAATGACCAGATCACTCTCATCGTTAGCGATGTATTCTCGGTTTATTACCTTTTCTCACGCATATTTCTCGTTACAAATATGAGTTCATTCGATTCGACAAGTATATGCACAAATCACCTGATTTCATATGCTTCAAAGATCGTATGACATAAAGGAATAAGTGGTCTGATATCTCATTCTTTGATATAATGCCGCTCGTTTCAACATCATTACCAACATCTCAATCACCCTATTTATGAACTCTAAATCATTCCATACACTCCCCACCATCATTCTCATCATCATAATCCCTCTTATTCTAAGTTCCATCCTCATCCTTTCTACTACCAAAGATCCATCCCCCAACTTCAACATGCCACCTCTGTCTCTTCAAAATAATAATATAGCAATAGTAATTGGATCCGGTCTAGCCGGTCTAGCCGCTTCTTCCCAACTCCTCTCCCGGTCCCAACATATTAAGGTCTACCTTCTCGAACAAGCAGCCCGGACAGGAGGAAATAGCATCAAAGCCTCCTCGGGCATCAATGGCGCGGAAACACTATATCAGCGCGCTTCGCAACCGCCTATTGTGGATAGTGTAGAGAGGTTCTATGAGGATTCGGTAAAGTCGGCGGGGGAGGTTATGAGGAGTAGTGGTGGTGGTAATGGAGAAGAAGAGATAAAGGAAAGAGAAAGGTTGATCAGGGTGTTGAGTGAGGAGTCAAAGGGAGCGGTGGAGTGGTTAGGTGGTAAAGGGTTGGATTTTAGTGTGGTAGCTCAGTTGGGGGGTCACAGCGTTGCGAGGACGCATAGGGGAGGTGGAAAGTCTAAACCACCTGGTGCGGCGATTGTGGGGACGCTGTTGCAGGAACTAAAAGCGAATGAGAGGTTCCATCTCAAGACTTCATGTAAAGTCACGAGAGTCCTTACGAACGATGAGAATGGAGATGTGGTAGGTATCGAGTATCGTCATGAAGAAGAAAATGGAAATGGAAAAGAACAGATCCAGATTAAACAATTAATAGGCCCGCTCATCTTCGCAACAGGAGGGTTTGCAGGTGATGCGTATGGAATGTTAGCACATTATCGACCGGATCTCGCTGGGTTTCCTTCAACTAATGATCCGCGCCCGGGATCTCAACATCTCCTTGCGGATATCGGGGCGGATCTTGTCGATATGGATAAGGTGCAGGTTCATCCGACTGCATTTGCGGATGCGAAGGATATTAATAATTTGACGAAATTTCTCGCGGCGGAAATGTTGAGGGGCGAGGGTGGTGTGCTTTTGATGGATGGGAGGAGATTTGTGGATGAATTGGAAACGAGGAGGGTTGTTACGGGGAAGATTGTAGAGGCTGGGGAAATGGGGATGGGAATGGGGGAGGAGGAGGGAAAGGAAAGGAAGGAGGTAGAACCGAGACAGTGGGATGTAAAACTTGTGATTGATGAGGGGGTATACGAGCGAACGAAATCGCACGTGGATTTTTACTTGTGGAAAGGATTAATGAAAAAATGCACAATCGCAGAAGCAAACTTAGGAGAAGAGGCAATGATAAGTTTGCAAAAATATGCGGACACGGTGGCGAAGAAAACAAGAGATGAATTTGGGAGAAAATCATTCGGATTTTGGAAATTAGATAAAGTAACCCCGGACTCGGTAATATACATAGGAAGTGTTACGCCAGCAATTCATTTCACAATGGGTGGTGTGAGGATTGATGAGGAAGCGAGGGTTTTGGATATGAATGGGAAGGTGATGAGGGGTGCGTGGGCGGCGGGGGAGGTTACGGGGGGTGTTCATGGGGATAATAGGTTAGGGGGTAGTTCATTGTTGGAATGTGTTGTTTTTGGGAGGAGAGCGGGAGATGGTGTTTTGAAGTTGTTGATGAGTTGAGGGGGTGGTATTATGAGGGGGTTGCTTGAGGGGGTTGGTTGTTTGAGGGGGGGTAGGGAGTGAGACGTGCGGTTTGGATTGGGGGGGAGAGGGGGGGGAACTGTGTTGGTTTCTCATATCATCCAATGTCTACTTCAAATTTAGTGAATTTCACCAAACCTTTCAAAGTTTTGTTGCACGTCTGACAAGCCTGAGACACAGGGGAGAATTATACTGGGTAGTGTGAAGTCTATAGGACTCTTCAAGGCTTTTACAGTATATCAATTCCTATCCAGTCTTTTGATGTGGATAGAACAAAATATTTTCATCTCATATTATATGGCTCGCTGAGATCAACCTCACTCAACATTCAAGATATTTAATAGTAATACCTCCCTCAACTTTGACGCCCGTCAATTATGGGTTTTAAATAAAGAAAAGGTTATTCCGATCTATACTTGAGTCTTGTGGTATAAAGAAAATAAATTTACATACCATATGCACGAACCATGGAAAAACAATAGGAAGCTCATACATATATAGCATAAACCATAAGCATAAAATAACTTTACAATTTACATCTTCAGTTTGGTATCAAATATATGCACAAAAGAAGACAAAGTTAAGAGATCATCTGAAAGTTTTGATGAACCAGTGCCAGAACTAGGCTATACAGACGGATATTCTCATGGAAGGCTTCGTCAGATACTTTTGTTCTTATTTCAATGATACGATGCCGATTGTAGAAAGCTGTATGGATTAAACTGGATCATTTTGTCTGATTCAGGTTGGTTGGAGATGAAGGAGAATGGGGGAGGACTGGGAAGAGAGATTAAATGAGTGAGGGAAATCGATAAAGTTTTCGATTGATCCCTAAATACATCGTACGTACATGTCGAGATAAAAGACACATTCCGCGTTGCTATATAACATGAAGAAGCATGATAGAAATATCGAGTTGATGGGACCATTTTCATTTTATTTCATTTCGTAAAATCGATTTCCATTTCATTCCCAATTCAAAAAGAGAAGAAGAGAAGAAGAAAGGAAGGAAAATGATCAACCTAAAGACATTGAGCATAATAAGCATTGGCATAAACGCACGTATACGGGCTAGCACAAGTAGTACTCCCCGTATACCCCGTCCCGCCACATTGTCCCCAATGCGCAACTCCAGTGGATCCGGGAGAGGAAGGAGTAGTGGTAGAAGTAGTGCCAGGGCTAGATGGAGTAGTGGTTGGGGACGTACCAGAAGAGGCGAGTTTTGCATTCACGAATGTGAGGGCTTGTTGTCCATATTCGGTGCCGTAGCCTTGATGCGTATTGGCATCGGAACCAGTGCAGCAGTATGGATCGGCGGAATCACAGTAGGACTTTATCTTGGAGGCAGAGGGGCATGAGAATCCGGAGGGGCGAGGTGCAAACTGTTGGGTTGTTAGAATATGTATTATAAGAGGCTATTGAAGCAAGCTTGTGGTAAAAAAAATAGACGAGAGATATGAACTAAGAACTTACTCCTTGAGCTCTACAGGTACCAACTTCGTAAGAGAGTCCATAGACATATCTTGGATTACCCATGAAGATTGCAGCCTTGATCATATTGACAGCGCTGGCTTTAATTGGGATTGCCGTATTTGTAAGTCCTTCATTAGCGTCCCCACCCCCACAGAACGCATCGTCCATTATTTGTCCACCCTAGTTATACTGTCAGCCTTTATTGTCTAGACATACATAGCCAAGTGACGATCTGAAGCTAGGACTCAACATACCTGAGAATACCCCACCAATACCAACTGAGTACTCGGACATTGTGTATTGTATGCATTAACTGCAGCAGCAACGGCAGCAACACCCTGAACAACACTATTTCCATAGCTGACTCCACCGCACGAAGATTGTCCACCACATGCTGGGTAAACAATAGCTTCGGATGTTGCACCAGAGTGTGCAGCGAGAATGAGGTTGATAACGACACCTGCGGTTCCGTATCCAGGTGATACAGTGGTCTCTCTGGCACCGAAAACATGTACGCCAGGACAGGTAGCACGAGTGTCTAGTTCGGATGGGAGAGCAGAAGCGTAGGTAAGGAGGGAGAGGAAAATTGTTTTGAGAGTCGTGCGTGAAAACATGTTGAGAAGATGGATGGAGATTGGATTAAAGCTCGATTAAAGTGTCAAAAAGAATGTCGTTGCGGATGCCGGTGGTTACTGATACTTCAGATGGAAACCAAAAAAAGCAATTCAAACTGCGAAGGTGGCTATATTTAAAGTCCTTTAGACTCCTCATTTGTCATGGTACTGTCTACCCTTCGCCGACTTATATTACCCATCCCACTTACTTTTGTTGACTGTATATTGACCCATATTGAACATCCCAGTGGAATATGTGATATCCATGTTGTTCTGATCCAGTATTATTCTCACAGCCGGGTCAAATAGTCATACGGATTGCCAAGACCATTTTAAGATTTCAGGCTAAAACCAGCGGACCCAAAAGAGTAGAATAGAAGAGGAGAACGCATAAAGAGAATTCAATGTTCAGAAGATTCAAATTAATATATATAAGTTCTATATCAACCATGTGGTGCTAGCAGGGGATTGGCCATTAAGCCTAATATATCCGACATGGCAGTCCTGAATTTCGGCTAAAGTCGTACTACCCCAGATTACCATATTTAGGATAATCTGTATTGAGGTCCAGAATTCTTCATCTTCAAAACCTCAATCAAGAATGGTCAGTTGGAAACATATGAAATGTCCAAATATGGATCATTATGTGGAGATGAAGAAAGGTTGAAGCAATCAAGGATGATCGATAAATTACAATACTTGTTTAATGATTACTCGAGTATTCAGACCTATTCTCGAGTACTGACGAGACTGACTAAGTATATGATAAAAAAACTGGAAGCGTAATGACGGCTACTGACTGGATAGAATGATGCAGTAATGTATGTCTAATTTGAGATCTCATGCGAACATTAGGACACAGTGAAATCATTGTTGCGCCCGTGTAGAGTAAAAGATGTATTCAAAGCGAGGTCGTGCATTAAAGAGTCTTTATCAATGGCTAGACCAACCTCTTCCAAATGCCTGGAAACTTTAATCCACTGATTTACTGAGTGTGTTTGTATAGATTGAAATTTAATGACGCCGAGGAAGGTCTGAAACTAGACATTCCATATATTCGTAACGAGTAGGTCTAATAAGGCTTGTAACATTGAAGCTCCGAAATTGAGATCGACAACACAGGATCACAATAAATGGAAGCATTGGGTTATTGAAGGACGTTGGGATAGAGAGAAGTTTAAGTGAAGGATATGAAAGCAGCATCTATATGATGATGATGGCAGACAATGGCTACATCTCAATCAGATATAATTATATAATTATTTGGTACCCAAGTTAAAAATACGGAGATGATGTTTGCAGAGATAATTAACATTAGGGGTATAGCATCACGTGAGCGGATATAGTAAGCCAATCGGAGAAAGATGATATACCCCGGAAAATGGAGAGGTGTAGAGACGGATTAGATATCAATTGATTTCCCGCTCTATTTTATATTCCTTATTTATTTTCTTGTACAAGTATGGTTGATACAACGATGACTGATACAAAGTCACACGATGAGCATTTTCTTTCATCTTTATCTGGAGTACGATAAGTCGTTGCTAATATACCGGATCCTGAACCAGAACAAGAGCGCCGGAGGAGAAGGCCTGCTATGTAGGTTAAACCACCCCCTATTAATTTCCCGAGCTGATCCGCAAAGCGTCACAGTAGAAGACGTAAGATCAGATGTAATCGAGAGATCCCGTGTAGCAATTGTGTGAGATCAAGATTCACAGCAGATTGTATTTATGACAAATTTGCTAAGCCTTCTCGAGCTCAACTTGTTGAACGACGACAAGGTCCAGTCAATGGACAAAACCATCACGTTCTCATTGAGCCAGCTTCTGAAAAATACAGAGACTCAAAGTTTGGGGGCCCCAATACATTCGGCAACACAATCGTCAAGCAACTCAATTACATTGTCACCAACGAACCAGTCATTGGCACCAAGTTCGGATCAAACTAGTGATGTCGAGTCTATGAAGCGGAGGATCAAAGAACTTGAGGAACAACTTTCGATTCGACTAAGTCTTCTGTTCCGTCTCTGCACTATATCATCCTGCACACTCTCCTGCAACCTCCGTAATCTCTAATATTGAGGCAAAAACTTCACTATCTGGAATTTTCCACATACACAAAGAAAGTCGTCCATTTGGTGAAGGTCAATCTGTGGTTATAACTTATAGAGTCTTACATAAAACCCGACTACTCGGTCAGAGTCATTGGATTAACGGAGTCACTGGGGTAAGTCATTTTTCTCTACCTTTCTTAGTTAATGAAGTTCAAGAACTAACTGAAAAATCAATAGTATTATGACCTTTCTGAAATACTTGAGCCATATATACAAGAAGGTTCGAAAGCCGCCGCTGGTATATATAGATGCAAAACTTTAGGAAAACTTATCAAAACTCGGCGAGCTCCATTATGGCCCTCACCACCAACTTGGCCTGATTTACCTTCAAGAGAAATTGCTGACATACTTGTTGACTGTTACTTTCGAACAATTGAGATCATCTATCGAGTGCTACATATTTCTACCTTTATAAATAACTATGAAGCGATATGGACATCCACTCGGAAACCCGATATAGAGTTTCTCGTCCAACTCAAATTAATATTTGCAATTGGTACTGCCACGTATGATGATCAATTCTCCCTCCGCGCTTCAGCTGTCAGATGGGTCTATGAGGCGCAGACTTGGATTTCGGAATCAGAATTCAAGTCACGATTGACAATAAAATCATTGCAGACTGAACTTTTACTTTTGTTCGCTCGAGAAACGGTCGGCATTGGTGGAAGATTGATTTGGACTTCAGCTGGCACATTGTTTAGGACTGCAGTATACATGGGGCTGCATAGAGATCCAGCTACTCTTCCAAAGAGAACTATATTTGCAGCTGAGATGCGAAGAAGGCTATGAAATACGATATTAGAGTTGATGTTGCAATCAAGTATGGATTCTGGTGGACCTCCCCTCATATCCATATCTCTTACCGACTGGGATACCGAGCCTCCAGGAAATTTCGATGACGATGAACTTTTGACCTCTGATGTTGTACGTCGACCAGAGAACGAGTTCACTCAAACATCCCTCGCAATCATACTCCGCAAGACCTTTTTACTTCGCCTCGCGATTACGAGATCCTTGAACGATCTCAGTACGCTTAGTACGTTTGAGGAAGCCATCAGGCTTGATACGGAGCTAAGATCATCCTACAAAGTCTTGTGTCAGGATATTGAAGTCTTCGACTCACCTAAAGGAGTTTTGCCCTCTCACTTCGGGATACAAATGTTGAATGGCATAATGCTTCGATACCTCTCATCCCTCCACATACCATTTTTCGTATCAAGCTTACAATCCCCAACTTATTCATTCTCTAGAAAAGTGGTTCTAGAGACTTCATTCAAACTTTGGTATTTAGTATACCCACCGATATCAACGACTGACTTACAATCTCACAAAGAACCCACCGCAAATGATCAACATTACCTATAACGACTGGCGGTCTGTGGCTCGGGATTACTCCGTACAATTGCCATACAAGCAGTTATTATTATAGCCATGGAACTAAAGATCCAACTTCAAGAAGAAACAAGTCTTGGACCCGTTTCTTTACGACCAGATCTTCTTGATGCTGTAAAAGATGCCAAATTTTGGCATTTGAGATGCGTTGAGGCTGGGAATGTGAATATGAAAGGATACTTGTTAATTTGCATAGCCATTGCACATATCGATGCTCTCCGGAAAGGTCAAGCTGGAGAAGAACTCGCAGCATCATTAGTCATAGCTGCGGAAGAAGCGATAGAGCAATGTGCGAAGATACTTGAGAACATGGCAGCTCAAGGTCAAAATGAAAAATGTGACGACGGATGGTTTGAGTCAGATGTCGCTATCGACCCCACTCGACTTGATAGAGGATTGGGATTTCATGGTAAGTTGATTTAAAAATTGCTTACAATGTTATTAGATGACAGATGCTCAGTATAATTTTGGAGATGCAATGAGTTGGGCCTTCAATTATGATAATTCGCAAAAGAGTTGTCACTCTGGTAGTCATAATACTCTACAGACCAGAAGTTTGCGGCGCAGGCTTGAGGGAGTTGGGTAGATACCTCTTCTTTCCAAGTTTGGAAAGGATTGGAAAATGTCATACCAGGAAGTGCACAATTTTATTGACCAGCAATCGATCGTGCCATGAAGAACCTCAAATACTGGGGCAAATTCAAACATTGACTGTCTGACACGTCCGACTTCCCAACAATTTAGTCATCCTTCATCCCCATATCACTTGTGTCGAAATCACAATTGATCTTCGAGAAGATAAACATCGGCCTTGCCACTCAGCGCAGCCCGGCCAATCGAGTATTTTTTATGAAGGAAGAATAGCCAACGATATGCACTTGACATTCGCATTCGTAGTAGAGCTGCTGATAGCACTTGGATTAAGAAACACCAACTTCTAGATCTCTATAGGCGGTGGTAGTTAGTGATGCTCCCAACTCTGGTTTCATAGTTCTCGAAGAAATAGAACAACCATAACAATCATCAAACTGAAGCTACTGTAAAGCTCTGGGAGCAAGCAAAAGGATCATAAAGTTATCAAGAGTACTACCCCTGGTCTTACTCTTCTCTTGCGACTTCTTCGTTAGACACCGGAATCGCCACCCACATCAATATCTACAGTACAAGTGCTGCACCTTCGAATTCATCACTAAATTCTGAATCTAGAGATAATTCGAGTCTTTCGCTTACAGTACTTCTTGTTCCGCCCAATGCGATGAGATGAGAAAGTACAAGGAAATAAGGTTAACTCAGTGAATCAACTTTCTGTGCCTAAAATTCATTTATCTTTTTTGACTCTCTCAGACTACTCTAAAGGCCTTTTTGATCATTTTGATATCCTTCTGTAGAATTATCAATTTATCGCTTGGCGTGAGAGGCTTGGCTGGTTTATTGATAATAGGGCTTGGTGGGAGGATTGGTTTGGAGAACTTCTTGGGCTGGTGTATGTTTCTCCTCTGTTTCTCTCGTGATCCTATTTTTTATATCTGGAATCAGTGGTTTGGTATTGTGGTTATCGGATGTAATTGTACATGAGTGAACTGGATGAATTAAGTAACGTGGATATAGAGTGGTAATTAAAATAGGAAGAGGAATGGGAATAGAAACGTTTGAGAGAAATCGGATGAAACACATTGTCAGAATGGGCAGAGTACTGGGGGGGATTAAAGTGGACTCGGAGTTGTAATATAGAGTTTCCCCCGCAATACTTGAGTAGTTTGTAAGATCTAACGTCTTATGTTAATTCGACGCGAAGTTATTAACCTTATATATGAGGGTATGAGAGTATGTGTCAGGGAGAAGTTGATTTGGCAGACCGCAGTCGAGTCCTAGATAAGAGACAGAATGCAACTGATACTTGCGTGGTTGCGTGGTCAGATTATATAAACTGGTTGACTAGGCATATTCAAGGGTCGGCATGCATGCTGCTACTCCGCACGACATCCATACTTTTGGATTAGATATAGGTCGGAATCCGAAAGGGTTCAACTAGCTAAAGATACCAGTAATTGTACTCAGTACAAAATAAAACCACAGTGAAGTTGCCAGTGTGAACAAACACCCCTGCAATCTAAAGTTCATTGATATCAAAAATAGGTTTTGACTTCCCCTTTTTGAAGTCCATCCATCATAATCTCTGCTCCAATCAACCCCCTCCTCCCTCCCTTCAAAAATGAATGTTCTAGACAACCAATTGATCACAAGTGGGATAAAAAAGAAAATTCAAACGGGAAATAAGCAGCCTAGATCATTCTAGTCGGCAGATCATTCTTTTGGATTTAATCCCCGATAATCTAATCAGTCTAGCCGGATAATATACAATATAAGCGAGTATAATCTCTTGGCATTTTTTCTTTTTAGGCTTCACTCCTTGTGATATCTTTTCCCAACTATCTTATTTGATGATTGCGAATAGTTACTTTTATTCTTTAATAAATCAAAATCAACTTTATACCAATACTAATAACTATCCACCCACGTATATCTTCGAATATCCTAGATCAGAGCTTCAAATCAATAATAATATATAAATATTTATACTTGGTGTCAACACTAAGTGAATGAGAGGAATAATTAGTATCCCATCTTATATCTTATAATGAAAAGAGATACAGCAGGGGGCTTGGCTTATAAGGCAGAAGTGGATACGCCGAGATCTCGAGTTATCCTATTTCAATAATGGCTAATTTCATGCTTAATTTAAGGTTATGATGGATTTACGCGCGCTATAAGATGATCCTTTAATCCTCGTTGTTGTGTCGCGAATCTTTTTTTATATTTATCTGGTGGTCGTTTATTTTTTTGTGAGCGCTGTCGTCAATCTTCAACTTTATTGTCGCTGTAGCTGAAGCTGTAGCTGTCTGTCACTTGCTAGAGTCTTCGAACTCATCCTTTCGTTTATCTTGTTGTATCGCAAGCACAAGATAATACAAAAATAATTTGTATACTCTGCTCACTGTCACTCGCTGTTCGATACTACAATATATACCATTTTTCAATCCACTCCACTATCGACGATTCATTCACCATCTTCAATTAATTCTCCATAATTCTCCTGATTTTGATATCAAACAAGAACATATATATCAGCAGATATGAGGTCTATCCTCCTCATTCCCTGTCTCTTCCTGGCGCAAATCTTCGCAGCACCAGCCCCTTACATTGTCACAAGCTACGTCGAACTTTCCATCTACACCTACGAAGCCGCCGAGACCCTACAAAGCACCACCTACTCCGCCGAACTACAAACCCTATCCGTAGGCGTTATACCCAATGCTACTCCCGTCACAAATGCCATCAAAACCGTAACTGATTCATCGGCCTATGCACACGTTACCATTATCGAAGTTCTTCTTCCCCCCGGCAGCGGCCATCGTCCAACTTCCACATATGATTATTTTGCGACAACCACTACTCCCTCAACAAGCTATGTAGTCCCAATCACATACACAGCATACCCAAGCTGTACCGGGACTGGTCAAAATTGGACATACATAACCAACGTCCCCATCTACCTCCCCACAATCATCGCAAGCCTTCTTACCCCCTCCACACTCACCACATCCGCCTCAACCTACACTTATTACGATGACCGCATTAGTGTCCAAACCGTCGTACAAGCAATCCTCGACCCGTCAGATATCGCAGCCGATGCATTGGTAAGCGCTTCTTCAGCCTACATACCATACTCTATGGAATATTGCTACACTCCAACCACAACCTGCACCACCTACCTCTCAACCGCTACATGCACACCCACGTGGGTATACCCCTCATCTCGTTACACTTCTGGTAGTGGTAGTGGCAGTGGCAGTAGCAGTAATTCATATAATTACAATGATGAATATTCCTGCGACGAATACTACTGCGGAGACAACGCATTACTTCTAATCGCCATCTGTGTGCCAGTAGGCTGGGTAGTCCTATGGCTCCTGGTCGGTCTCTTCGAATCATGGCTCTCGTTTAAGGGAATCATGTTGGGTAAGAATCGAAAGCGTGGAATCCCATATGCTTGGTGTTGTATTTCGATGTTATTTCTGTGTTGTACGGGTCCAACGTATAAAGCGAAGAGTGTAGAGGAACAAGAGAGGTTGGGGGTGCAGTGGAAGGAAATGGGAGTGGGTAAGAAATTGGGTCTCTGGTTTAAATGGGGGTTTAGATGGAAGTATCCAGATATGTTGGGGGATGAACCGGAGAAGAATAAGAGGGCTTTTAGGGAGGGCTGTTTGTAGATGTTGGGGGAAGGGAGCGGGAGTGAGGGAGTGAGAGTGAGAGTGGTGGAATTTGATGGATGCATGATAATGTTTGATGAAGTCAGTTTATACCTAGACAGTATATAACTAGATAGACTTATTATTTAATTTTTAATGGGGATAAGATGATGCTTGTTTCTAATGTAGTATTAAGTAGTGAGTGGTTTTCAAACAACATCTGAACCAGTTTGAAGCGAACTTTCCTCGATGTATAGGAAATCCGTCCCAACCCTAACCAATTCATTGTAGCAAACTATAATGTAAGATCGGATGTATCAATGGTGTCTAGCAAATAACTAGGGGGAAAACAATATACTCAAGCAAACCAAGTGCAAACCAAGTGCAAACTACTCCAGATATGTCTGACCAGATCACACATATACCATATATCATCCTTGATACACCATCCCTCTCTCCCAACTACAGATCAACAAATCAACAATATCCTCTTCAGCCCCAGTCTCTCATATCAATCCCCCAAATATCATCAACACCATCCATCATACTCGGTACAATGAATTAAACCAAATCCTTCTAGATCTGATTAAGGTCCTGAATATTACTAAGTATTAGTAATTAACTTTAGAGTACTACTCTCTCACACTTACTATGAGTACATCTGATTACATTACAGAGAGTTCTCGAGTATACCTCACGGACTGGCAGCAGTATATATATATATATACATATATACTCGAGTATAAGCCCACAAGATCTCCAATCCCCAATCCACAAGCCCCATCCCTCAAATGCCTCCAGCTCTGCCTCCCCAATACTAATACTGATATCCAAACACAATTTAATACCACCAAATACTTAAATAAATAACAATAACAGAAGCCTATCTAAATCATTCTATTCCAATCTAATCCAATCCATCAGAGACTCAATCCTCTTGATCTACTCTACATACATCCTATCCCATTGTACGAGTAAACAATATGAGTACCAATTATCAAGTTCATAAGCAATAAGTATCTTTCGGGAGTTACTAAGAGAATAGACACTCTTGCAGGATCATCTGCTAGAGTATGAAGAAGTCAATGTATATAATCATAAATATACTCGAGTACTTGAGTTTAGTTAGTTATACTCGAGTATATAAATGAGAGTATAAAGAAAGGAAAGGAATTAAGTGGCTTAAGTTCAGATTGTGATCAATACAGTTGAGTTGAGCAGTCCTCAAAGCCATGTGCATGATTGTATGGGATGAAACCCAGATTCCAGAAGTCTGATGAGTGAAAGGGAGATATAAGTTCCTACTTGGACAACACCTTGTACTTATATACCAGAAATTGGACAATATGATTCAAGATAAAAACATAAAGTAATTAGTCACTTAGTATACAGTACTTAAATCAACACTCAAAAAGTCACAGAAGAATCATTTATTTAAAGTAATTATTGAATTGATTTTTGTTATTGTAAAATAAGACAGCAGTAGCAAAGGAAGAAACCAATTGCGGACTACTCACCATATAATACATTGGTCTCTGAAAACCGGGTAATTTTTAGCATAAACCATCCACCACCTGACCAAAGAAAACAAAATGCTTTTATTGCCAAATACCCACGGGACAACCCACATGAAGCCTAGTCCCCTCTCAAGGTACCTAAAGATACAAGAAAGGATCATACTGAGTTCTTATTATGGTCAATGCCACTAGCCTAATGTTTTCAACCCAAACGCCCAATGGAACAAGGTACTATCAAAAAGAGGATCTCAACGGGACAGCCACAAGCCGACGACCACGTAAATCAAGCCCACAAGTTGCAAACTTCTCTTTCAATGAATGAATTCAAAGAAAGAAGAAGCCATGTCTCAAAGCCCACATTCTCCATGAGGAGTAGAAGTCGGACCCACAACCCACAAAGCCAACGACCCACATATCAATACAAGAGTATTCCTAAAGAGAAATACTCAAAGTATGACAAAGTACGGACAGGCAATGGAAACCCTTACATGATACCATCAACTTATTCAAAAGACATCTTCTTTCCCTTGAAGTCACCGAAGCCACCACGGTTAGTGCTGCCTCCACGTCCACCACGGGATCCTCCACGGTCAAATCCACCACCGCGTCCGCCACCACGTCCACCTCCACGTCCTCCTCCACGGTCAAATCCACCACGTCCACCACCACGTCCGCCGCCACGGCCACCACCGCCACGGCCACCGCCGAAGCCACCGCCTTCGCTACGCTCTGGACGAGGAGTAGCATAGTCGAGTCTAACTGGACGACCGGCAATATCGGCACCCATCATAGCATCATATGCTGTGGTGGCATCTTCTTGGGAACTGAAAGTAACATATCCGAATCCCTTAGGGTTGCCAGTTTCCCTAGTGAATGTTAGTATGTACATGGGAGAAGAGTGAAGGTAAACTTACTGATCAGTAGGAAGTCTGACGTTGACAACAGTGCCATGCGCACCGAAAGCCTCACCAACAACGTTCTCATCAGCATCGAAGGAAAGGTTACCGAGGAAAAGAGTGTCGGAAGGTGGGTTCTTGGCATCACCAAATTGAGCAGCACGAGTGTTAGCACGCTCCTTTGGTGCGGTGTTATCACGTGGAGTGGAGAAGTCAACGTTGGCCTCACGACCATCGATGAGTGCACCCTTCTTGGCAGCAAGAGCGGTAGCAGCATCGGATGCCTTGGCGAACTCAACGTATCCGAATCCCTTGGAGCGTCCAGTGGCCTTGTCGCTGATGACACGAGCACCAGTGATCTCTCCGAACTCTTCGAACTCACGGTAGAGCCACTCATCATCAATGTTCCAGCTAAGGTTACCGACGAACAAGTTCTTGACGCCAGATTCATCAGCAGAAACCTCCTCGGTCTTGGTCTTCTTAGCAGATGCTTCGGGTTCCTCCTCAGCCTTGCGCTTCTTGGATGGTGCTTCGGCTTCGGCTTCGCTAGCATCATCGCTGTCGGAGTCGGATGAATCGGAGTCAGATCCAGATGCAGATGCCTTCTTCTCTTCTTCCTTGTCGGAGTCGGAGCTATCGGAATCATCAGAATCCTCCTGTATGAATGTCAGTTTACCGCGCACATCATGATAAGATTGATGGAAGAATATATGTTACTTACAGTAGCCTTGGCAACTACCTTAGCAGCACCGTTGACCTTAGCCTTGGTGGCTTCGACAACCTTTTGAACCTTTTTGGCGGCAGCAACTACTGGCTTAGCCTCCTCCTCAGATGCGGAGTCGCTTGAGTCGTCACTATCCTCGCTGTCAGAAGCAGCAGCCTTCTTGGCAGGCTTTGCGACGGGTTTGATGTCAGTTTCGGACTCAGAAGATTCGGAATCATCCTCAGATTCAGAAGAAGATGATGCCGAGGATTCGGAGGATTCTACCTCTTTCTTCTCAACGACCTTGGCAGCCTTTCCGGCCTTGGCAGCCTTAACTGGCTCTGGCTTTGCCTCTTCCTCAGATTCGGAGTCGGATCCAGAGTCGGAATCGCTCTCGGATGGAGTGGCAGCCTTCTTGACTGGCTTTGGGGTTGCCTTGGCCTTGGTGGTGGTTGGCTTAACTGTCTGTTTGGATTTAGCTTTTGTGACGGGGACCGGCTTGATAACTGCAGCTTTCTTGACAGTTGGAGTTGGTGGTTTGACCTCAGTCTTCTTGGATGAAGTCTTGGCAGCCTTTGGCTCTTTAGTAGTAGTTTTAGCCATTTTGAATTAATTTACTTCTTAAGAAGGGAATTGATGGTTATTGAAAGAAGGATAAAAGTCAATTGACAATCTTGGATCAAATTGATACAAGAAAGAATTGAAAAATTGAAAGGTTTGAAAGGTTGTTAGATGGAAAAGAAAACGATCAGAAAATGGGAAAGTGAAAAGTTTAAGTAGATTTTAAGAAAAGCTCTTATCGAGATTTTTTGATTTGATTTTTTTTCTTTTTTTCAATCACGCTAGATAGATAAAAGATTAATCGGCAAAGGATCGGCAAAGAGTCGGTAAAGGTCCGGTTAGTCTTTAAATTTCACAAGAGATGTATGATAGAGTTTGTCCCCATAATAAATCGTGACTTTCAATCAATGATCATGGAACAATCAAAATACTAGGTAAGGTTGCTTCATAGATTCATTACAAACAATCAAAACCTTGAGATTGAGACCCCATTCGAGGATAACGTCGTCGACCTCGAAAGATTTTAAAGACTTCGAACTTACTACTGATACCACATCATTCATTCGAATTCCTATCAATTGATCGCAGAACAATGGCACCCACTCCCGAATCCGCCGCATTCCTCGCGAAGAAACCTACTGTTCCCCCAACCTTCGATGGTGTCGATTATGAGGATACTTCACGATTCAAGCAAGCGCAGGATTCGATTATTAGAGAACAATGGGTTAGGAGTATGATGGCGCGCTTAGTGAGAGAGGAATTGGGAAAGTGTTATTACAAAGAGGGAGTTAATCATTTGGAGAAATGTGGTTCATTAAGAGGTGAGGATTGATAACTTTATCTTGGAGGAAGCTGCCATTTGTTTTGGAGAGGATTTGTTTCTCTCACTCAAAACTTTATGGGAACTCCATCTTTCTACTCAGAAATTCTTATTGATCTTGGAGCTAATCCTTTTCCCTCAGACCGATATTTCGAGTTATTAAAGGAGTCCAAGATTAAGGGTTACCTGTTCGATCAACAGAATTACAGCAAGAAGCCCGAATAGATATCTTATGAAAGTTTGATTGGGTAAGGAGGGGTTGAGATAAATGTCAAGCTAGATGGAGGGGGGAGGGGAGGGGGATATTCGCATGGGCTCAATGCAGCTCAAGGCAGGATATCAGGAATGAAATGCTGACGATATACTATATATCCAGCAAATTTCACGGCACTTGCCTAGGACGAGAGGCCAAGGAAAGGTCGACTTATGGGGATTGTAAATATGAAATACTTTATGAACACTTTTCTGTCCTAAAAGCTCGTGATCTTACCTTACCAGTGTTCAAAGCTGACATGGACTTTCAAATGCCATGAACCTCTGACTAACATACTCGTATACCTCCACCTTGCCTTAGCTATTACACAATTAATCAAAATAACAGCAACATTCAGGCATATATTCAATTGTCGACATGATTAAAATTTGTATGTAATGTCCAATACAATATGATGATCATAAAACAATCACTCCATCGACTTATCCACCTAGTACCCAATCCCCCCACCAAAGAATTTGATATCACCAGCACACATGGGCCATACCGCCACCCCTACACACCCCAAAAAAATAAATCTCCATAATGCATCCATCAACTCTCACAATAGCCCAAATCACTTTCCTTACAACCCAATCCACGATTTCAAAATGATTTGCTCCCGCTGCATAAAACGAAGCATCTTTTCGCGTCTACAATCCCAATCGCGCGCCTTCACCAGTACACCCTTCCTCTCCACCCCCCCTCCAACCCTACCCAGCACACCCAGCACACCCTCACCCAGCAGCCCTCTCACCACCAACCCCCCAACCACAACCACAACCGCAACCGCAACCTCCAGCAAACCCTCCCAACCAGCTCCGAAAGCAGCTCCATTACCAACATCGAGTACACCCGCTGGAACCATATTAAAAGGTCTAAACTTTTTCAAAGCAAAAGATGAACCGGTGGCAATGAGAGAAGATGAATATCCAGAGTGGTTGTGGCATTGTTTGGATGTGAAGAAGGTGGTTGATGGAGATGATGCTGAGGGTGGTGATGAATTTTGTATGTGCTATACTCTTCTTTGAGTTTTTTTAATTTATAAACCTCCCAATCACAATGCGTGCGCCATCCCTCGCAACGCAGTTGTTAAACTTCCTAAACCTTCCACCCAATCTCCATTTCCTACACATTTCCTCATCTCCTCATCTCTCAATCCCTAACCTTCACTAACACACTCCCCCTTCCCCCCCAGCCAAATCCAAAAAGCTCCGCCGACAAGCCGCCAAAACCAAGCGCAAGGCAACAGAACGCGCCCTGCTCTCCGGCGACCCAAGCCTACTCGAAGTCAAAGTGCCCATCCAACAACAATCGATTGATTTAGCATCAGAAGGAGAAGAAGCGCTTGATCAACGTGATCATTTGAAAAAGGCGATGAGGACGGAGAGGAGAGCAAAGATTAAGGAGGGTAATTATTTGAAGGGTATGTAAATATGTAGGGGCTTGCTTTGGTTGGGGTCATGGGGTTGTGGATTTGGAAGGTCTTGTGAGGGCTTGGGCTGGGCTTTGGATTGGGGGTCTCTTGTTCGAGTGTGTGATATGTGGATATGTGATGCTGTGAATAGAGACGAGGGAAGATGATGCGAAAGTCAAGGAGATACCTATAACAGAGACAGCTAGAGCTGTGAAGACAAATCGCTAGGGAAGAGGGGACTTTAAATCACTATGTGTATGTCCACATTGTAAGGATACTAGAGACAAAATTTGTATTATATGATCAGCTCAGGACGTCAATCAATTTGTTGATGTTTGTGATTATTCTAGAGCGATATAGCAATTAGCTACCTAGTAACTCATGACATTTTCCCCAGTCCATAATGCACCATTGTAATGCCATACAACTCCGACTTTAGACACTTCCGGTACTCGTAAGTTGCCATTCTAGTCCATCCATTCCCAATGTACCAATCAACGCCATCCGTCCAAACCTAGCAAATACCACCAGCCAGCGCCAAAAATCATTTTGGAATCGGTGTGAAAACCGAGCGTAAAGAACGCCTAAAAGTACAAGTCCCCAAATACCCACCGACCAGAATATGTATTTAATCATCCTCTGCCTCCCCAATAGAAGATTTCTTGATTTCCAACTCAGCCTTGAGCTTCCTTGACTTATCTTCGATTCTCCTACGTAGAATTGGATTGTTCTGGGCTGCTAATTGTGCCTGCAAGCCTTCAATTTGTTTCTCCAAATCCACAATATCTTCTTTGGCTTCTTGAAGTTGTGCCAATCGTGCCTTTTCATCATCAGAAATCTCATCCGGTTCGCTTCCTTCATCTATACTTTCTCCATCTTCAATTGACTCATCACCACTGTCTTCTTCTTCGTTAGCGGCTGGGGTTTCACTTTGAAGCATAGAAGGTGTGGCTGCAATGCCCGACATGGACATGGGAGTATCAGCAAAGTCCTCAAAGCCTGCCCCGGCTTCCAATTCGGCTTCCATCTCTGCTGCGAGATCAGCTTCGAGATCCCCATTCATTTCATCACCAGAAGCATGATCATGACCGTTCATATGAGCAAAGTATCCACCATCGTCAGCTTCGCCTTCCGCGTCTTCATCCTCGGAGTATTGGTCTTCTCCATCTTCACCATAGCTTCCTGGACTAAATACCTGGTTACTTTGCTCTCTTTCCGGAGAAATAACTTTGTATTGTGATGATACCGCTTTTCGGTCATCCTCAAGAAGTTTTTCAACGGCTTCCTCCACGGCTTCGATCGCAGTCCTGCTAATACGTGTTCTGAAACGTCGCTTTCGTGCCAAATGCATGGGAGCGGTAAGACCATGTGGATATTGAAAAGTTTGAGGGTCGATGATAGCAGGTAAGGGAGAAATCTTCGCGTCATCTTCCCTTTCAACCTTTTGATAGATCCAAAGCATTTGACAAATATCCGCACTTTTCCACCATCCTCTTTTATCCCAACTCTTCATTCCTTCGATGATGCATGGTAGATCGACAAGTGTAGCGGCATATACGTTTCCACGAATAGTGATAGCAGCTCGTCTACCTTCGGCTTGAAAGAATTTCATTTGCACATTCGCGCCTCCATTTCTTGGATTGATACCCATCTTTTTATCGTGAATACAGGTTCGTAGATAGTCACAATCGTCACCGGGAATCATTCGGAAAATGAACGATTCTTCAATAGAAGGATCTTTCTCCGTATCGCTAGCTTCAGAATCATAGCCTTCCCCAAGAGGTCGTTTGGGTGGTTTGCCCTTAATTTTGGCCTTTATCGCAAGAGGCGCTTTTGGAAGTCCAGGAATACTAGCCAAAGAGGGGGTCTTGGGCTTCAGACTAATCTTGACTTTCTTCTTTGCAGGCTCATCGTGAAAGTTTGGTTTTCGTGGTATTACAGATATGGTCTCTTCGCCACTGTCATCCTCTTCTTTAACTCTCTTGCGCGACTCTGTGAGCTTCTTGGTTGGTTTAGGTGCTCGTCCTGCCTTTGTAGGTTTTGATTGCGATGAGGCAGATGGAAGAGGTGGTGATGTCGCAGGTCTACTGAATTTTAATTTTGGTTTGGATCCGCCAGGAGTAAGAACTGTTGGTGTATTGGGAGTAGGTGTTGAAGGTCCAGATGGTAGATTCATTCCTCCATTTGTCTTCAACTTCAACTTGATTGGACCGCTCATCTTGGCGGGTTGTTCATGTAAATTGTTTCGCTTTATTATATTTCGAATGTTTGTGTCGCAATGATGGTAGGAGTAGAGTTTTGCAAAAATCGCAAATGTGAGATTATTCAAGTGATTTGAAAAGGTAGAATACTGAGTATAAGATGTTGAACTTGAGTAAAAGAGCTTCCAGTTCTAGATTAAGGAATGTACGGGAACCCTTAGCTCTCAATCACGCAGCCGCGTTTTCCACTTTGCGCCAAATTAATATTCACCCTTCACCAGTAACGGTCAGTCATATTCTATTCTAGGTACGTACTAGGTATTCTATTCGATTAACTTAATATTTTTCACCATAATACGACCATGGTATTATCTATTTTTGCAGCACCTTGAATTCGACTCCCTCATCATAATAAACGAATATCCTAACATGGCAACACCTCAAGCTCTTCATCATGCCCTTCTTCGACCTTGTGTTTTACATATTCTCCGCGCTGCAGGCTATCACTCAACTCGTTCCTCAGTCATTGATACTGTAACTGATTTAGCCGCTCGATATATGTGCGTACTCGCACAATCGACAGCAGCACATGCCGACTTAAATCATGCCGATCTCGATATAACGATTCAAGATGTACGAATGGCTATGCAAGACTGTGGAGCTCTTATGCCGGAGAAGGCAATAGAAGAACAGGAGTTCAACGGCGAAGAAGACATGAGAGGTGTAGAGGGCTTTTTGGCGTGGGTAAGGGGAGAAGGGAATAAGGAGATTAGGAGGATTGCGCTGGCAGATGGAGGGGAAGACTATTTAACTGGTAAGTTCTCCCTCTTTCTTCTGGTTTTATACGCGCATGGAAACTAAAATAAGATAGCTCTCAAAAAGAAGCATAACACAACCGATGAAGATTCACGATATCATGGGACATTGTTGGGGAGACCTTCCGAACCTCGAATAGTGAAAGTTGAGGGAGGAGAAATTACAAGCGTCAAGGAGTGGGCAGATCGATTAAAATCAATACCAAAAAGGATAACAGAATCACCTTTTACAAGGGAAGCATCGTCAGCTTTGAGTTCTGTGGGGGATCAAGTTATGGATAATATGGAGTTTTGATGCCACAGGGAGATGAATATCTTGACTTTCGGGCATGGCGACGGAGTTCAGGTTAATTGTCAGATATAATACATGGCCAAATGGATAGATGGAATCCTGGTAAACCACCACCAATGATATGAAGGTCTACCTATATTCAGGACCTCATTTCCACCACAGTACGGCACACAACCTCAAACGGATGCCAACGATTCATTCGCAAGCCTTCCGCCTGCACCCCCATCTACATCCACGCCTTTCTCTCGTTGATTCTTGATCTTCTCTCTAGCCTCCTTTTGCTCTGCCTTTTGTCTATCCAAATCACTTGTATAACTGCCTTCCTCTCCCCATCCAGCATTCTTCTTGTCGAATTGGGCAGCCATTACTTCTCCTTCTCCCGCTGCTCTCATTTGCTCTCCATCCAAATCTTCTTGTTGAGGTCCGACCTTGGAATTTGGCAATTTGACATTACTGTCGTCTGCGTTGTCTTTTGGATGATCACCATGACCCATTGCCGTAGCGGAACCTACTGACATTCCGGGGGTTGCTGTTGAAGATGGTACACCAGAATTGGGACCAAAAGTTGTACCGACGGGGGTAGAATTAAGAGAGGATTGGTTTTGAGATGCGGATGAGGCAGACATGATGATTGAGTGAGTGGAAAGGATAAAAGCTTTAGGTTGTGTTGGTATATGAGATGTACTTTCTGAATATCGATGGTATGGTATTTGTAAAGGGTTGTTTATATACTTGGCCAATTTACCTCCTTCAATATACGAGTACTCATATTCATACTCATACTTAGCCCATCAACTAACAATAATGACGTAGTCGTAGTAGATACAAATGCATTCAGATAAACTATTTGGTACGGTGACCATAAAGACCCTTGAGTGCAACCAATATCATATTTGTCCGAGTCAAGTCAGTCAGTCCATTCGCATTCCAACCAACACACATTTCCCTTCCTCTTCTCTATTCCAATTTATATCCTCAATTTTGTGACTCAACTATCTTCATGCAATAATTATATTCCAAGTCATATAAAGTCATCTAAACAACAAAGGTTCCTACGCTCTAACGATAACCTAACCTTGCCTCATTCTGAGTTTCAAAAGCAAGGGCACGTGTGGTGATCGTATTCTTTACGCATAAGGACATTCATTCTGTTGATATATATATTTCTGTTGATTCATATCAAGATATCAAGTCATGCCTTTTCCATTTGAGCTTCCCACGACATCATCATTTTCATTCTCAACATATTTCACCAGTGACTCCCATCCGTCTCTACCTTTAGCCGTAAGTACTTATAGAGGGGTCCTTCGTGATGTGTTGAAGAAGCATAAACGACTTACTCCCTCACAACAATCCTCGAACCTTTTATCTATTCTTCAAGCACTCAACAACTACATTCCATATCTCTTAGCCCTCGACTCTGGCATATCTTCTCAATCTCACCCAGGGGCAGAACACATCGATATCATCCTTACTTCAACACCAACCATGGATTGGCGTCCAACTCTTTCAGATCCTCCAATACCTGGTAGAGAAATCCCAAGACTAAAGATTCAAAGTTTAGAATATGAAATATATTTTGTTCTTTCAACACTAGCCTACACTCATGTTCTTCTCTCACGATCCTCATTACATCCCCTATATTCATCAGCTTCGGCATCACCATCACCTGATCAAAGAACTTCATACATCAAAACTGCCACAGAACAGTTGTTATCAGCTGGTTCAATTCATAACTATCTTTTCACACGCTCGACAACTCTGACTTCCCCACCTCCTTGTCCCGACATCTCAAATCCTGTTTTCCGTGCCCTAAGCAGTCTGGCATTGGCGGAAAGTACATTACTGGCAGTTTTAAAGGATGATCCATATCCAGCAGCAGTACAACAAGATCGCAATAAAAATGACAAAGAATGGATGATAAAAGCTCCTGAGATGCCCAAAGTCCGCGCTCATCTCTTTGCGAGATTATGTCTTGCTACCGCCGAACATGCGGGTAATACTGTAGCAATGCTAGGTGGGATGGGAAATGGAGGAAATGGAAAAGTGGACGCCGAGTTATTGAAATACGCGGAGGATTTGCGAAGGGTAGGGAGAGGAAAAGCTTGTCGATTCTTTGGGGTGGATGCAGAATTAGGTGGAAAAACCGGTGATGGTATTGGGTGGTTGAGGGCTGGGTTGAGTGAGCTAGGAATATCAATGGGAGATGATGGAAAGAAGTCCTCTGGAATAGGATTTGGAAGATTCAAGAAAGAATGGACAGAGAAAAGAGAAGACCGCAGAATTGAGAAAGGAAAGGATTGGGGGAATGATGCAGGAAAAGCCGAGGAGAGTAGAGTTATTGAGATGTTGGAGAAGAAATGGGTAAAGATAAATGATACTGTATGTCACAATCTCCTACTCTTTTCTTTGTTGCTTGATACTAACAATCGGCGCAGATCGGTACACAACTCATACCTTCTATAGGCACGCTCATCTCAACTCTACCATCTGGACGGGAAATGCATACACTAAAACCGTACAACCCTCCAACTCTTGATATCCAAGTTCTTGAAAGTATGAGAGCACCACCAGATCGAGCGGATACATACGAGGAAAACGATAGTTCAGATGAGGATGAAAATGGAACTCCAGTTGGTGCATTTCCGGGCACAAAAGGACATTATGCTGGTGGTTCGAATTATTTCTGAATCATCCACCTAGATCTCAAATTCAATATGTTCTAGACCAAGATCGCCAATCATACAAAATGAGAATGTTACACAAGCTCCACCCAATTCATCCATCTCCAATTAATTCACATCACCACACCGCCAGTCCACTACCTCAACACAACAAGTTCATCCCATCACTCCGTGCAACAATGAGATGTGCAACATATCAACTTTATTTTCAGTAAAATCTTCCTAGTGGACATGATTTGATCATGGGTGCACTACCGTCTGACATACCTACGCCACGCTTCACTTACACGTGAGATGTGGATGAGCTTTATTGACGGAAGTGATGTGGCTTGCATTGTATGGTAAGTTAATTTACTTGGTTTGTATTTCATGATCATAGTGGTTGGATTGTATGGTAAGTTAATTTACTTGGTTTGTATTTCATGATCATAGTGGTTGGTGGTGGGTCTGGTGGTAAGCATTGTTCATTGATGTAATGTCAATTTCGATATGATAGATTATATACTAGATGCATTTTTATGCGCTATTACTTCGTTCATATCTCTTGCAAGTGCATCTCTTCATGTTGCATTCGATTTCATATACACCACAAATTCAAGCACCCCAACTCCTAATCTGCGCACTAGCCGCTGCTATTTCTTCATCGCTTGGCATGTTGACTACCATTAAATACAAGACATTCTGTGGCCTTGGTTAGTATATTCATTCTCATATTCAATGTTTGAAGCAGATAGTACTCACATATCCAAGAATCTTCTTGACTCCTTTGGTTATCATGTCAGGGCCACCAAACCCTCCAAGTCCTCCAAGTCCTCCAAGTCCTCCAAGTCCTCCTAGTCCATTCATCCTTCTCGGATCAGACATCTGTTGCTGATTTTGTTGTCCATTACCTGTTTCCTCATGCTGTTGCTGCTGACGATTCATTCTGCCATCTACTGGTTCTTGTCTCCCAAGCCTTTCAGCACGTCCACCTCCAAGCAAAGCTCCAAGTCCACCTATATCACCACCCCTACCACCGAATCCTCCTCCCCTAGCAGAGCCCATTGCAGGATTAAATTTCCCACCCGTAATCAAACTCCATGGGTTCCCACTGCTAGCTGCATGAGTAGGATCCGCATATCTACTCGTAAATTTATCTTTTGGTCCATTGGCTAAAAAGCTCTCGCTATTCTGGGCTGCATATTGTGTTCGTGCTCTTCGATCCATGTAATCTGATACAAAGTCTCCTTTTCTTTTCATTTTCTCTTTGAGCTTTTCTTCGCCCTCTGCTCCTGATGTAGTCAAAGCCGCATCGAGAACTGGAAATACAAGAGGTGCGGCTTCAGGGAACTCGAAATTTCCATACGTGCTGCCGGATGAAGTATGGAATTTATTCCTCGTTTTCGTTTTTCCAGTGACTGGGTTAAATGATTTGGCAATGGTGGATGTTAAGTCAATAGTACTTGTATTGCTAGGATCATCCGGGTTCCACGTCAATACTAAAGCATAAAGGCCGCGAGGGCGAAAAACTTGATTATTCATTGCGTCTAAAAATGAATTGGTGCGTTGACGTGAATGAACTTCATTCGCTGCCTTGACTGCGACCACAATTGCAATTTGTACAGCAATAGCAATACCGGGAGCAACACCATGGGCACCAAAACTAGCAAAGTTGATACATTGAATCCAGGGAGAGGCTTGGGTAGCTTCATTGAATGTGCCCAAAAAATCAAGCCACATGGATTCGGAGATATCGCAATGTTCGAGTAAAGGTGCATAAGCACGGATGAATCCTCGGGATCGGTTCTTAGGTCGACGTTGGGGGAGGATGACGGGAAGGGGGAGCCGATTGGAGATGCGGTGGTCTGGTGGATATTGAGGTGTGGGGTACCGGGTTATGAAACGAGAGATGATCACGCTCATGAAGAAGGTACGTTTTTCTTTTCCTTGGGTGGCTTCTTCGTCTTGGTTTGGTGTTCTTATCTCGATCTCTTGTGCTGTGAGGTCGGATGTACCGGTAGAACGTTCGGGAGTGGAGAGTGGAGAGACGCCGCCATCATATTCTGGTGGTGCAAGTTCATCCTGTGCGGCATCCAAGTCCCATATTTGTTGATCATTGTCATCGTCGTTGAGTGAGATATGGGCATCTGTAGAGCTTTGACGGGAAATATCTAAACTTCGGGAGGAAGATGAACGATTGTGAACAGCATCGCTGACAGGTGCTTGGGGGGTTTTGCCAGCTTTCTTGGCTTTGTGGGCGTGGATACTTTCGGATGCGAGACCAATGCCAGCGGCGAGTCCTTTTACGGCTGTTTGGATGATGAAAGCCATGGAATGGATGGTGAGGGTGTGAGGAGATAGATGGCTTGGATGATGACGAAGTGTGTTTATATGGAAGATAGAAGATAGAAGTAGAGTATGAGTGTACAAAGAGAAAGAGAAAAGAGTTGAAGGACGAAAGAGAAGTCTAGCTATCTATATATACTCGATCTATTCCATCTCGGAATCGCTCTAGCTATATGGATACCTACGTACTCGTAGCTTCATTGTGTTGTGAAGATCTGTAGAATCAGCTCAGCCTTGTAGGAGAAGCTACTAACTAATCAACTAACAACTTAATACTTTCCCCATAAGGATTCTTCAGTATCGACACCCCTTTCAAAAGTGGTAAAAGTGGTAATTTTTTTGAGACGGTTACGTGTTACCGGTGCTAAATTAAAGTAAGATGGTTGAAGATGGTGGATGTAGGGGTTTGATTGGTCGGCTGATGCTGGTCGGTTAACCTTGATGTCACTTATCCTTTTAGGGAACGAATGCGAGGTTGGTCACGGGATGGTGGTTTATCAGGGGTCTTTCTATTCGATATATCAAATGAATCTAATTTCACAAACATATAAATATCTATGTGATTGAACATCTAGAAGTTCTAATTTTAGCTTTCCTAGAGTCATGGACGAAAATCTTCGATATGTTACACGTTATCATGTGACTTGACCTATTCCTCACTCATTTTGCGCGCACTTGCCGCTCAGGTCTCACGACATTCACTGTAAGCCATACGAAAGTCAAGCTACCTCACAGGCAATATAGTACCTGTCGGAGGTTACATATTAAACGCTAATCGCATTCATGTGAGTTCAACGAGGCCGATGTGGCTGAGTTGTGCCTTCTTACATGTCGTTTCTTCGAGTTTTCTTCATCTTCAAAGCACCTTTTCAGAATAACATCAATCGAAGTGACATGTCGTCTAGTGCGGAGATAGAGACTCGAGTGGCAGTATGGGAATGCTGTGGCTGTGATAGCAGTAATCGGAAAGAGGATTCATGGGCATCCGCAATTACCAACATTGATTGTTCAAACTGCAGTCACATACGATGCAAGGATTGTCATACTCGCGGGTTGATGACAGCACCAAAACACAATACAAACGTCTGGCCAGATATTGGGTTTGGACCTAGTCTACTCCTTTCGTTCGAACACTCGCGCCCTGCCATTATCTACCCGACAAAGACAACAGCCTCGATGAAAGTAAACGACGGATCTATTATTGATGAGATTGACGTACACAGAGATGTCCCGGAAAGTATCAGCAAGCCAACACCACTCGAGTTATGGTGCGCGAATCTCGAGCCGCACGAAACCAATGCGCTAGGGTTGTCAGAACCTGTAGATTATACTGCCGAAAGTAAGCTCAACTTTGAATCAAGATACGGCTCTTCCCCTTTGAGATTCGCAAATCAGCGAGTGCCTCTGTAATCCAGCTTTTCTGACAAATCTATAAGTCGAATCTCCCTTGGCCAAAGATAGTCTTTTTGCCGAATTAGAAGGTCTAGACTCAAATGTGGTTTCAAGTAGCACCGAATCAGAAGTCAACAACATTTCAACATCCGAATCATTCTTCAACTACCCAATGCCATTAAAACATTCATCCATAAAGTCTACTTCAAATAGCTCCGGATCAAAGGCAAACAATACTTCGTCATTTGAATCATTCTTCAGCGACCCAGCGCCATATTTCGAAGACATTTCTTCTCTTGAGAATCGACTTTTCAACCTCGAAGACTCCATTTTCAAGAACATCAGGTGGGATGATGGGCAATGCGTGCTCCCTTTACCAGCATTTGAATTTGACACGACACCGTTCGATTCATATCAACAGCCCCCCTTATTATCACCCCTAATGCCACTGACAGATAAAGAGGAGAGTGTCCGTATTACAACTGAGGCTAGTCTGAAAACTCTATCGGCGATACGCGGTGGGATAAAATTACTACATGATGAAGGATTTTGCAGCCACCAAGGATATAATATCATCGTTGTTGACCCCGGTCGCCCGAGTGTCCTCAATGTTAGACCGATAAGTGTGCCACGCCTTACCATGCTGAATGAGCTCCTTCGTGAAGGAGCTTCGAATCCACTCCAATGGGACCCCATTCTGGATGATATTGCGAAAGTTTTATCACGTATTGTTACAAGCCTTAGTTTAGATATGCTTGTAACAGCTGATGGGGAGCAAAGAGAAAAATGGCAAGGCATTTGCCAATCTTTAAGTGCCGTTCTAGCTGTACCACATATTGCATTGATGTCTTTCATCAGATCACATATTGACATCTCTGGAGCCATGCCCAACGGAGCACTGAGCGATGGATTGCAGATCGAGGCCCCCGGAGGTAAGATTTGCCTAGCTGCTAGACGTTTACAGTGCTTGCATGGCTTCTTAAAGCAACCAATTTGGGCTTTCAACTTTATACCAAAGGATTCTCACCTCCAGGGGGTTGACTACGACGGGTTTTACATATCTTCATCTATAGATGATCTTGCAGAATTATGGGGCCCCTTCACACTTAGTTATGCAGAAACTTTGTGGGCAAGAACCGTAGGCTCTATCGAAACCCGTGGGGGCAGACTTATGGCTGTGCATTCGAGTAATTGCCAAGTTAAAGCATTGGATGACGAAGCCCTTTGTCATTGGTTTGGCTGGTTAGACGTTGCTGAGAACGAGCTTCGCAACCAAATTTTACCAATAGATACTACAAAACGTCTGTTGATTGGAATGCCCGGCTCGCGCCACTCGGACTACCGTAGTCAAGAAAGTCAAAGGCGCCGCATACGGCCAAAGCTTGAGGAATTGGCTGATGTGTGCATCTGTGATGATACATAGACTTCAAAATACGAGGAATTTGATCTTAGTACAAGAAGTCCTTCTTGGATCCTGGATACGAGATCATTACAGGCCTCAGGTGGTAAGTATCTCACAGTCACTGTCGGATTTACATACAAGTTTGATGCGGGTTGGACATTGAAAGACGCCATATTAGAAAGTTGGACTGATGCTGCAAGAGACGATCTGACACACATTCCATGTCCACATTACATGGACTACCGTGTTGTCCTAGAGATAAGTCGTTGCTCCGGACATGCTCGGAGAATTAGCATATGGAAATTACTTCAATGCTCACTTTTGCGCGATTACTTTCGTCAAAATTTGGAAGTTGGCGTTTGTCAAGGGATTGAAGCGGCCCTTCAACAATATTCTTCAATTGGCTGTTTTGCTCTAATATGGCCTGAATTGGACACACACAGGAGAAATATCTTGACATTGGCTTTCAAGTTTGTTTTAAGAACATTGAAATGCACTGGTGTAGGAGAGGATGGGTTGCTGCAAGTGTGGGATATTACCTCAATTCCACGTATAGATGGTAGGAGGATTGATCCCCAGTGGGCTCCGTTACTAAAAGACGATATTGGTTGTGCAACCTTTGCAGTTATAACCGGAGCTTGCAGAAAATACAAGCCACCAATTCGAGCGTACGAAAAAGCCCCAATAGGTCTGCCAATCCTCTGCACGCAGGTGCGTATCACAGCCAACCAAAAGCTAACTCAGATGAATACCACCATGAAGGAATGCAAACCATCGCAGCAATCGAACGAATTCAATTCGCGTAGCTTTTCGTCTAAATGGAGTGTGCCTAGATCAAATTCAAATGATATCAGGCTTGCGAGGTTCTCATTTACGGTTCAATCTAATTCGGGAGATGAATCGCTCGATTGTGTAGGAAATCTCATGAATGCTAGACAAATAATATCTGGTGGCGTCAAGACTAATGAATCCACCGATCAATCGGTCCCTCTCGAGCCAATCCAGCCCAAAAGATTTCCTGCTAGAGATGGCACAAATGTGTGCGATGATACGCGATCAAAAGACTCAAGCCAGACCGACCAATCGAGAACTCAACGACAAAAAATACCAGAGAAAGTGACGTGTGATTCCAGCCTTCCATTCAAAAATGGTAAAGGTCAAAAACTGGGGAAATTAGTACTAGAACCGCTTGAAGGACCATCAGAATCCATTGATCTAACCTCTCTCCCTGATACAAGCGGTCTACCGGCTAGATGGCAACCAAGTAGATCGAATTGGTTTGATACTATACATCAAAAAGGGGAGCAAATGGATGAAAACTTCAGCAGTTGGGTAAATAAATCGAGTGGCTTGATTCCTCGTCTGTTACGTCGCATGGCGCCAAGAGAAGACACAAGTCCAGCTGTTGTGACTGAATATATACGGATGGGGGATTTGACAGCCTATCAAAAGGTGCTTGACTTATATATCCGCTAAGTCATATCAGGGTTTGAGAATCGGACGGGATACTTTGTAATGGCATTTTATACAAAGCACCACTCCACTCTATATGGGTTATGTTTGAATTCAAGGAAGACACGATGTCTTTTGCAGGTATGAAAAGGGCAGACTGAATGTTCAAAGACAAGTCAAAATTCAGTAGTGAATGAAATCTGTATGAATGACCGACTTCGGCTGCGTTGGCATCGACTTGAGTGATTGAATAACGAAGACTGCATTATACCTCCTTTCGCACCGGCAATTTGTGATCTTTAGTTCTTCATATGAGTGAGGCTCAGTGAGCGAGTCAAGACTTTACAATCAATAACCCAAAGCCAGCAAGATTCCAACCATGGTGTGCACAGGTGCATATCCCCAATGATCTGCCTGCCCTCCCCCAGCTTTATAACAAACCCACCCATCCACAAAAGCAACACCACTCCCAGCAATCACGATCCATCCCAATGTTTTATAATTCCGATAGTAAGAGGCGGCGTACATTGCGAGGCCCATGAAGACATCTCTTGCTCCGTAGATGGTCATGAGAGCTTCGACGAGGGCTTTATCGGAAGCCGCTTTGGGTAGGGAGAAGGGCTGATAGAACGTGAGGGCATGGGAGGGCCGAAGAAGTGCATTGATGCCGAATATGATGAAGATGGTTCCGAAGATGTTGGGGAGAAATCTGAGGATTCTGGAGAGTACCATGTTGTGAAGATTACTTATGGCTTATGGTCAGCGATAGCAACTTGGTAATTAATGGAATGATATCTCTACTGACCTTAATATATTTGAATGTAGATCAATTTGAGAGGGTCTTGGTGTCAGTTGTCTACGATATTAATCATCATGGGGGTGAATATTCTAATACTGGTCAACGCAACATTCCACTGCTTTGAATCAGGACAAACGCCAAGACTTAGTATAGCCAATCAGACGTTCTCGACTCTGAAGTCATAAAATAGCCTACCCATTAGTTGATATCTAAGGGAACATCTTCTGAATTACTCTCGAGTGATCGAGTGAAGATATACTTACTTCTAACGGGAGGACAATACTGGAATGTTGTCAGTGAGCTTAGTAACTATCAATGGGGTCCTGAAGATTACTGTAACCTTGAGTCGGACCCTAGCAAATCGTGAAATCCACTTTAGCTTATCTAGGGTCACATCTCACCAACAACACCACACAACATTACTCGAGTAATGGCAAGACACGTTCAATACCGAATGAATCAACATCCATATATGACATATAAAAATTGGATAGTTCAGTGCTTTGGTGTAGTTCACCCGAGTAATACAAAATATACTGCAGCAATCTTCAATGACCTTCCATATTAAGAATCAAAAGATGGGGAAATATCTTGCCACTTCGATTTATCCATGGTACCTTACCTCACACGATACTATATGAGGAAGGTTGATTATTACCAACGCGAGCCGTAGTGCATTTTCATTTGATAAGGTGTGGTAGGACATGGGTTAATGCTACTCTTACTGTCCGTTATGTACCTGAGCTTCTATGTTGTGCTAGGTAGAATGAGATTTTACTGAGTAGATGGGAATAGATAAGTATACCCCTCGTTCCCAGATCAAAGTTGATAGCTTTTCTGTTCTCCTCAATCAATTGGCAATCATGGTGACTTCGATTGTTACACTCACGGCATTTCTTGCTGTTGGATTGGTGTCTGCCTCTCCTATTAAAGCTCGTACTCCATACGCTGTGAAGGAGACTCACAATCCACCTCCTCAATGGCAGAGAGTAGGACCGGCGCGTGCCGGAAATTTGATCAATCTTCAAATTGGTTTGAAGCAAGGTCAATTTGATGAATTAGAACGTCATCTTTATGAAGGTGAGTACTTGGTTCATATATCAAGAGAAAGAGCAAATGCGGTTGAAAATTGACTAATGAACTCAAAGTCTCTGACCCTTCTCATCACCGTTACGGCCAGCATCTTAGTGCCCAAGAGGTGAATGATCTTGTTAAGCCTTCCGATGAGACTCACAATCTCGTCCATGAATGGCTTCAAGACAACAACATTGAAGGGAGCTCTCTTGAATATAGTCCCGCCAAGGATTGGATCAAAATTACCATCCCAATAGAGGGTATCGAAACCCTCCTAGATACCGAATATTCTACTTATCAACACGAAGATGGAGAATACATAGTTCGAACTCCAGAATGGTCTCTGCCTCTTCATCTCCACGATCACATTGAGACAATCCAACCTACAAATTCTTTCTTCAGGCCCCGCGCTATAGCAAGTACATTAAAGAAAGTCAACCAAGTCGCCGAATACCAAGCTTTAGCACCATCTAATTACAAACCACCTACCGGACATACTGCAGCAGATGTATGCAATGTCTCATCTGTCACACCACTCTGCCTTCGAACTCTTTATGGCACCATTGACTACAAGGTTCAAGCTGCCAACAAAAATAAGATGGCTCTTACAGACTATCTCGGTGAATCCAACAATCGATCTGATACCAAGCTTTTCCTTGAACAATACAGACCTGAAGCAGCTTCGGCAGCATATAGCTTTGATGTTCAAATCATTAATGGAGGTAATGATGAGCAAACGCAAGAAAATGCCACTCAACTCGCAGCTGGCAAAGATCTCGAAGGAAATTTGGATTCGGAAACTATGCTCGGAATTGGTTACCCTACTCCATTGATCGCTTATACGACCGGTGGTTCTCCGCCTTTTACTCCAGATGTGCAAACACCCACTGATAACAACGAACCATACCTTGTATGGTTACAATACATGCTCAGTCAAAAGGATCTTCCAGGAGTAGTAAGTAACTCATATCAAGATACTGAGCAAACAGTCCCATACTCTTATGCCGTTTCAGTCTGTAAAGGCTTTGCACAATTAGGCGCGAGAGGTGTCTCTGTTTTATTCGGGTCTGGAGATAATGGAGTAGGATCAGATGGTACATGTGTCTCGAATGTCGACAATAGCACGACTTTCCTTGCTATGTTTCCTTCTACATGTCCTTACGTTACATCAGTTGGTGGTACCAAATTCATCAACCCTGAGGTCGTCGCTACTGATAGTAGAAATGGATATGTTTCTGGTGGTGGATTTTCTCGTTATTTCCCTCGTCCTTCTTGGCAAGATGCTGCCTTAAAACCATACCTCGCCTCCCTACCGAAGAACATCACCCAATTTTTCAATGCGACAGGTCGTGGCTTCCCTGATATTGCAGCCCAAGGTTATGCTTATATCACTGTTTGGAATGGTACTGCCGTTCATCTTGATGGTACTTCGGCTGCCACCCCAACAGCTTCTGCAATACTCGCTTTAGTTAACGATGCATTAATAGCAGCAGGAAAGCCAAGACTAGGTTGGTTGAATCCATGGTTATATAGCAAAGGATTTAAAGCTTTCACCGATGTTACCACTGGAAGTGCAAGTGGTTGCGGTACCGATGGATTTCCAGCAACTAAGGGCTGGGATGCGGCTACTGGTTTTGGAACTCCTGTAAGTATAATCTTATCTCTTCCTCCTGATCTTTATGTATGGAGTCACTAACACAACATAGTATTTCCCAAAGATTAAAGATTTAGTTCTGGGTTCGAGCGGTTATGGACACAACTAATGCCGAGGTATACTTACTCCATGGTATAGAAGTTTGAGTGGGATGACTTGGATGATTATGATATATATTGGTGTTTGATAGCCTCAATAGTAACAACTTGTTTACTCAATCGCACGATATAATACTTATTTGGAACGAATATGTCGAGGAATAAGACAACTTGCGATTCATAGCCAAGGTGTGACAATTGCTGTTCGGGTTGATATTGCCGATATACCGGTACTAATATGTGACCTTCCTTAAATCACCCCCTGACATTATACCGGATAATGAATTCGTCCGTCTTGGTCCGGAAGCGGTCCAAACCGAGCGGCCGTCGCCGATTGTGCAACTTTGAAATGTTCCATCAAAGGCTAAATTGGTATTTTTACTTCAAATCAAGAGCTGTGGATTGGTGAAAATACGATTTAATTGCGTGGTACATACCGCTTACCACTTTCAAGTATAAGTGCTCCTCTCGACTTCAAACGTTCGTTCAAATAGGGACTGCTCATTATTCTTTTTCACCACGATGGCTCTTGATCTAACTTTCGGAGTGGTGATGATCCGTCAATTAATCGCTATCACATTTGTCGTGGTATGCTCTCCAATTCTACGCTTCAAACGCATCCTGACCATCTACTTAGGGAATTCTATACGGTCTCTGTACCGTGATACACAACATTTACTTTCATCCACTCTCGAAGTTTCCCGGACCCAAACTATTCGTAGCAAGTCGCATCTTCAGCGTTCGGGAGGTTCTTCGTGGTGAACTTCCCCAAAAGATCGCCGCTTTCCACGAAATCTATGGCGAGGTTGTAAGGACAGCTCCAGATGAAGTGTCTTTTACGAGTCCACAGGCTTTCCAGGATATTTATGCCAAGAGGAATGGCAAACCTAGTTTCCCAAAAGATCCAATCCAGTACAATAGCCCAACGACGCGCGTATCGAGTATCTTGAATGTGAGTAGTGATAAGGATCATGGTCGATATCGGCGCTTACTTGCACATGCTTTCTCGGAGAAAGCATTGAGAGAACAAGAACCTCTCATAAAACACTATGTCGATCTTCTCATCAAGCGTCTTCATGAAAATGCAGCCAATGGTTCTCAAAATATGGTCAATTGGTATAACTTTACAACGTTTGATATCATCGGAGACCTAACTTTCGGAGAATCATTTGGATGTCTCGATGGTAGTGATTATCATCCTTGGGTATCATTTTTATTTCGATCTTTCAAAGCAGCTTCATTCATAGCTGCAGCTAAACGATTTTGTCCGATTGTTAAGATGGCTTTGGATATGTTAATACCGAAGAAATTGCTTGAGCAACGTAAATCTCATCAGTCACTCACCCATGAGAAAGTACAAGCTAGATTGGAAAGAAAAACGGAAAGAAAAGATTTCATGACGTTTATTGTTCGACATAATGATATGGAGACGGGAATGTCGGTTCAAGAAATCAAAGCGACTTCAGGTGTGCTTATGCTAGCGGGAAGTGAAACTACGGCTACACTATTGAGTGCTGTTACTTACTATTTACTTGCGCCAGGGAATGAGCACATTCTCAAGAAATTGGTAAAGGAAGTCAGGACAACGTTCAAGTCGGAAGAAGAGATTGATATGGTTAGTGTCAATAAATTGAGATACCAATTGGCGGTGTTGGATGAGACTATGAGGATTCATCCACCAGCTCCATTTGGAAGTCCAAGAGTAGTACCAGGAGACGGGCAGTGGGTGAGCGGATACTGGGTCCCTGGTGGTGTAAGTTTATGGGATGTGTTTTCTCGTGACTTGGCAATTGTTGTGAAATTACTAACTGGAAGTCTAGACCAATATATCATGCGTTATATATGCCGCTCAACGCCAATCGGCAAACTTCAAGAATCCGGACAAATTTGCCCCAGAAAGATGGTTAGATGATCCTGAGTATGCCGGAGATGAAAGAGGAGCGTTTCAACCATTCAATCTGGGTCCTAGAAATTGTATTGGAAGGAAGTATTATTCTACGTCCCGCTCACGATTTGTCAATCCATTACTGATATATTATTAGTCTGGCGTATGCGGAGATGCGATTGATTCTTGCTCGTGTGATTTGGAACTTTGATCTCGAGTTAGCAGATGAAAGTAAGAGCTGGGCTAAGAATATGAAGATCTTTCTCTTGTGGGAGAAACCACCACTTTATGTTAATTTAAAACTAGTTGTGAGGAATTGAGGGATCATACATTGGGGTTATGAGTCTTTTATGAAGCATATCATGTTTCGAATGGTTTTCTAGAGTATTACATTTACATAGAAATAAGCACTTACTCTACCAGACTACCAAGCTTAACACTTCGTATATCCAAGCGGATGAGTCCTTTCAGAATAGTCAGCAACCGCATTTCCTCTTCCTCTTCCCATTATATTCAATTCTTCTATCCACATCTTCAAGTCCTCAAATATAGTTACTTAAGCTTCATTAACACTAATCTCTACTCTTAGCATAAATAGTCAAAATTTCGAATGGATATCTATGTTAGAAAATCAAAATTTTGATCATATATATATATATCTAGAGTAAATCTAGAGTAAACCTCAACTAATCTAGAAGTTCAAACTTTAATCACGATTTTTGTATTTTTGGAATTTATAATAGTAGCTAAACCATCTATTACTCCAAACTCACCTCAATAATCCATCTAATGCAATAAAATTACGAATTAGTTCTTTAAACAATCGTCTAGACTATGAGTAAAGACTACAAGATTATTGGATAACCTGCTCTAATACTGGCCTTAATAACCCATGATCGAGGTATCGATATGGATTCGATGTCGATGGATAATGTTTGAGGGAATATTTTGAATAAGGTAGCCTGAGTAGATGGACTTTCAGAAAGGAAGGGAATAAGAAATGTGGGTTTTGGTATCTTGTCCTTTTCGGATAAAGTGTCGTTCAATGACGATATGTCGAAAGATACTTGTGATGGTGATGGTTTATAAACTGTTACGATGATGGGACGTGCGTGATTCATCTATTTGCTGAAACTATGAAAATGTTGACTAGCACGTTTACCTGGACCCAGAACATCCGGTCTAGTATATTATCGGCTAGATGGATGGTAGAGGATGGCACAATATTGTAGAGGGACATTGTTGAGCCGGATGAATAAGGTTATATGATTTTCACATCTGTTTTCACCATAGCCTATCTTTGGTTGAAGATGAAACACTGCACATCATTTCATGATTATTTGATGGGCATTGATGAAAGTTCGCTTTGCCTATGTAAGGCTTTCTCAGAAAATGTATCATACAAAAAGAATGCTGGCAAGAACAAGAATAGAAACGTAACGATAGTGATTGGTGAACCTCAAGGCTGACCCATACATTATCTGTTCTTACATCTGTTGCCTCCATTAGCCAACTCCGGTGAGACCATTGCCAAATCCATCTCAAAATCTTTCGCCATCATTTCATCTAACGCTTCGAACGACGGTAGCGGTATTCCTACATCAAGTTTCAATGGAAAGTAGTGGTAAGCGATTGCGGTATCAACCTCCGCCCAACACACCTCTGGCTCACCCTTCTTTGGTGTCACAAATGCAACTTTTCCATCATCCTGAATTCGAGTCTCATGAAACCATTCGTTATGCCAATTTTGCCATTCAACAAAACCCCGCGACATGGAACGACTTTTAAAACCAAACCGCCCCGCCAGAACCTAGAGGAGATTCTCTTAGTTCCCGAGCGAAAAGAAGGAATTGCGAAATAGTTAGATGACTTACACTGTTTATCATCATAACTGTATCTTGGTCTTGCGTTCGCGTCAACGTCCAGGTCAGCCAGGAAAAATTGGTACGCCAATTACTACATGGAGATCGCAATGCTGATTGAACATGCTCTTCGAAACTGTAACCAATGTTCGGATTCCAATAAGGTATGATGTGTTGGCAACATGAACGGTCCTCGAATAATGCAGGCTCTTCCTTAAAGTCATAATTGTCATTGTGAGAAATTGGTACCACTGGTGGTCCCGCTGGTGGTCCCATCCAGGCATTCCATTCAGCATAGAAGAGTGCATAAACACGTTGACCAACATCCATGTCGTAGAATGGTATCCTAGATAACTCGGTTGGCGTATCTCGTGGTAGAAAACTCATGATAGTGGTCGGTGTCTTCAACATGACTCGCAATAGCGAGACAGATTTACTTGTTCTTGGGTCCACTTCCTTTGGTCCATCTTGGTAATATCTGATGTCACTCTCCGTCACAGGATCGCGAAAACGTGCACATTCGCATCCATCCTCGTTGGCCTTCCTCCTAGCCTTCCTGTCCGCCATTTCGTGTCTGGCTCTTAGTATTATGGTCTCGTCGAGAAGATACCCAAAATGTACTACCAAACAAAGTTCCACGACAATCTCGTCCAATCGCACAGGCCAACGTATGACGAGAGACTCCCAAATCTCGTTGGAGGCTATTTCAGGTTTATGGGACCGTAGTATCTTGATGGCTTCAATGAGATTCTTATCATTATATTGCATGTTTTCCCTGATGAGAGGAGTTTTCAGCTTCCAAAGGGAATGAGAAGGAATAATGTAAAAAGGTTTTAATGTAAGAATACAATGTTCTGATTGTGATAGTAATTGACAAGAAGGATGTTTATTTGGTGAAATAATATCAGCTTGGTAGCTATGGCTTCATAGTATGTTGCCTATTGAAGGAAGGAGCGATAGTAATATACGAGTATCACTTTAAGGTTCAGGAACAGTGTATCCAATAGTCCCAGCTAGTCTACTCGAGTAAAATTTCTGGATGCTACTAGTAGTCTGGACTGGATAAATATTCAGATTAGTTGTTTTTCTAAGATTATAGTTTAATTATTAAAATAAGATTTTTATAAGCAAAATTATAACATTTTAGTATATCTCAGGCTAGTCCAAACTAAACAGACTAGATCTTTTATTTGGAACGAACTACATGAGATACTATACTTTTGAATTATTGTACACACTGTCCAAGACTAACTTGAAGCGTCCCGAAGAACCTTTATACAACTTTACATACGCTTGGAGCAATTACTTTTGTACTCGGCATATCTTATTAATAATATACGCACTGCACACCAAAAGCTCTTAATACGAGTATGTTGCCGGGCATAGATAAACAGTCCTTCAGATTCTTTTGAGATATTGATGGCTCATGTGCTTAGAGATAAGTGGTTGCCTTGTTGGAAGTTGAATTGTCCCAAGAAAGGAAGGGCTATTTCGACTACCGGTATATCAAAAGTAATAGAGATATAGTTGTCTCTTTATACCCCAGATACTATCATACCCCAAAAAGCTTAATTCACTCATCAGATAGATATACAACGGCGTTAATATGCAGGATGAGGATGGGAAAGATACATACGAGAGGGCGTGGAGTTCTTGGGATATGGGATATGGGACATGGGACATCACACATATACATCGCACTTGCAATGAAGGATCAATTAATTTGCAGTGAAATTATTTCACATATTAATAAGATCAAGCTAGAAATGGGAACCTATGTGCACACTCCATTTTTGATAAATGCGAAAACTCACACTACCGAGCCAAACAAGGCCTTAGGTAAGGTTCCATTTACTGATTGACGATATCATTAGTAGAGACTAGAGTCCCCTAGTAGATAGAATAGTTTCTTGGATGACTACTATTAGATTACAAAGCTCAGAGAGAGCTCTATCGATAATGACTCATCAGATAATAGAGCACAAGAGTCCTTGACTTACTATAGGCCTTTTGATGACTCACCTCATTCATGACAAACCAGCAGCCGTGACATATAATGTTGATAGTACTCAATTACTCAATATATCTTGAATACTAGTAATAGATCCTTATATCTCAATTATCCTTTTGAATCTTTGATGCCATAGTCTTCGAAGTATATCTAAGGTCTATATAAAAAGCAACTCCGAAGTCAAATCAAGTCATTATATCAATTAGAGTATCATATCATGTCCTGGTGAGGTCTTGGTGGGGTGATCAGATTAATTACATGTAAGGTACCGGGACCACAAAATAATCCCACTACCCCATTACCCCACACTTCATCAACCGCTTCGTTAAACACGAATACATGACATGAAATATCAATAGATTTGAATACGTATAACTCGACAATATGATCAACATCCATGAGATTCCGAGCCTTCTTTTGACTCAAGGAGTGAGAGACAAAATCCACCCATTGCATTCATCTTATGAGTATTCACTTACTACCAATGTAATTTTTGGGACTCAATCAAGTTTATCAAACTACGACTTACGAATAAGATCAAATCATAGTGAATGATTGTTTATCCCATCTGTGAATATGTCAATCAATGTCTGCGAAAACGTCTGCGAGAGTGTCTGCGAGAGTGTCTGCGGGAGTATCTGCGTCTGCGTCAGTGTCTGCGAGAATGATGAGAATGATGGCAATGTCATTGCGACTTATACAACTATCATAAAACATATCTGCGATACAACAGTACGGTAAATCAATGTCCAGACGCAATCAACTGAATACCGCTGATTCAAATATGGATAGGAATTACTTGAATCGCACAGACGGGGGATGATATGAAGATTCGCGACCTTGCAGAGATGCGTCTTTCGATTTGACGAACTTACGCTTTATTCAATTGCTAGACTTAGACTGGTGGTGTGGTATTGGTATGGTGAATAGGTATCATGCTTAGTACAATGGTATGTATAGTCCTACTCATCGTTCAAATTCGGAGCTTATACAGAATCACACACTTAACATTAATGTCTACTGTTTTGGAGTAAAGTATGCGACCTCCCAATGAGCATCTCGATAAGCCTACGAATGTTCTGCGACAATCGATTGACTCACTCACAAGCCAAATTTCCGAACGAGTTTACCTATCGTTCTCTCCCCTCCACAAAGACTTTTGTTCCGTCGCGAATATCTTCTTTCATATCCTTTGATATAAGTACCGGTATCGTATAAATGGATTCCCCTATAATCATATCCCGACGAATTCCAATTTACCGACAAGCTATCCCCTCCCTCCTACGAGTACGACAAGCCATCCTCCTGTGCCGCTTCAAGCATATCCCGACAAGCTATTCCCCTCGACTACTACAACCACGACAAGCCACCCCCTACTGCCTTCCGCTCAAGTATCCTTCGACGATTGGCGAAAACCCCGACAATCGTTCCCTGATGAACTACCTCACAACTATTCTCAAATAAGCATTCCCTAAGAGCGTTTCCTTACAACTACAACGAGCTCCAACAAGTACCCCCGATGAGCCATCTCTTAGCGAGTATCCCCAATTAGTACCCCCGGACGATTATCCCTTGACGAGTTATTAACTTATGAACATTTTCTCCAACTATTTCCCGACGAACAATATCTACCGACATCATCTACGACCGGTACAAGGCAGATGTGGAGAGACAAATTGGTAATTCAAGGAGACATCAAACTAACATCAGGTGCGTATAATCCATGCATGGAAAACTTTTTTAACATTATGTACTAACGTTCTCGAATAGCAAGGAATGTGAGCTCATGGTGCCCTTTGAGGGACTGTCATAATCCCGGTGGATGGATCTCGAATTAAAGTGATAGATGAGGCTGGAAGGATCACCTGGAGTGAGGGTTAATCGCGGATGATAGATCTCAAATCGAAATGAGAGTCGAGGCTGGAAGAATGAAGGTCATCTTGGGAGGTGGGCATCGAGCCGGGGCAGGGAATTGAAGAGTGCGCTCTCTCTAGATCACTAGGTATAACATCGGAATAAATTTGAATATAAGTAACAGGACATAGGAGATAGGAAGGATATAATGTATCAGACAATTCAATACACGAATGGCCTTCACAATCATGAGCTTTCCCGACTTCGCTAGCTAGTGATAATGCAGCATTATAATCTTGATGGAATGTCTAGACATCTAATACCTGCCTTCAGACATAACTCACGAGCTATAGGTTAGTATGGAGCTTGTGGTATATCATAACTGTTTACTCAATTAGTATTTCAATATCTCAGATATACATGTTCAGTCTACCAGTATGCGAATATGATATCATTTTAATTCAGCTCATTCGTGTTCTGTTTTAAATATCTTGGGCGAGCAGGTATACTTTTTGTCAAGTCTATAGATAACTCAACCTCAAAGAATTATTATTTCAATACTCTTCCACTTATATAATAGTTTGTTTTGCCAATCCTGTTGTAGTAAGGTTTTGCATATGTCTTAGGCAATAGTTTGACCAAGATCAAATTCCTCTTCATTTGAGGTTACTACCCGTCTCGTGGTATTTGGTCCTACCCTTTATCTTTCTAATCCTTACTACTTCATACCACTATTCATTGTTCTATTTCGTTCAATACTACTTTCTTGCAATTGCTCAGTGATAACTTGCTGGAGTACAAACCCCGGCTTCTCAATTATTCTCTATGTATCCTCCATATTATATGCCTTTCCTGTCCTCGTTATTCAGTTTCTCGATCTTTGTTGATCCTGCTCGAATGGTATGGTTCTATCTCAACAACTGTTCCGGTTCCGGTAGATTTCATTTTCGCTTAACTATTATGTATTACCACTCTACCCCTATCTATTCGAATGACAAGTCGAACGGCTTCTTGTGCTCTTGTCCCTGCTACTGGGATATGATTCGCTTATGCCCTCTTTATATGATCTAATCCTCGTAGTTCCTGTAGCTGAAGCACGATAAACAGTAATTCTTCGAGATTATCTTGAGCTTCCAGGCGTTTCCTCGATATAATTGGGTGACCTTGTCCAATATCGAGTCCAACCTTTTCATGGCCTGTTGCGGCAAATCGATTTCGAATTGATTTCTAAGATACAAAGTAGGATCCCAAGATATATCAAACAACCATCGGGGAAGTTCATGCAGATTATACAGTATCAACCAAAGCTTCTTTTTAAAGCGTTCACATGGATCAGTCCTCGAAGATACTGCTGACAGGCTACTTTGAATTCTACTCCGAAAAGATATTGTCTAAGTCAATCAATAGTCTTGTTACCCACTGTGTCGAGTCTACTGGAGAAATAGAGTTATAATAAGAAAGCCACGGCTGCCAATCAAATATTGCCCTTGGTCACTCAGATGGTTATATTTTCTCTAGGATACTTGTAAAATCGATCACGGATATGAAGTACAGGTGGTCTCCTGATGGATTCGTTGTGCTATAGACACCTTCTTCGATTGTGATATTTGTACAGAGCAGATACAGAGGCCGACTCACCAGTATTGAGTACTAGCCGCCGGTCAGATATCAGTAGTGCCTCTGCTAGATCAAATCAAAAGCCTTGTTGCGGAACTATAAAAACTTAATAATATAATAGTAATAACG